GAAGATTACAAACACAAATAACTGAAGACTAGAGGAATAAGCAAAGGATCTAGACTCAGAAAAACTTTAGACTTGGTTCTACCACAAACTCACTTTTGAGCAAGTCCCTTCATGTTTCTGAGCACCAATGTCCTTAAACAGAGAGGATATCTCTTTTTACCTTTTAAGGTTGAAAGGAGATTCAGATTTTTAAAATGGGTGTGATATATCAAAATATCAAGTTTTGCACCTTCATTCTGTACATTTTGTCAATTATACCTCAATAAAGGAGGAAGTGGGTGTGAACAATTCTCTGTAAAAAACTATAAAGCCATAAATAGGCCATGTCCAAACTCCTGCTTAGAATATTCTCATTATGACTGGAGAATGACTTTCTCCAGGTGCAAACTATACACAACAGGCTGGGAAGAGATTTGGGGAGCACCATATGGGCCTGAACAGGGTTCCTAACTTGCTGCTTCCAAGTCTCAGGCCTGGTCAAGAAGGTGATCAGTTGAACCAGCTTGGTGCCCTTCACTGCTTCAGAATCCTGCTTTTCTTCTCTGATTCTTATTTTTTGCTTTGAAACATCTAGCTTTCCAACCCATGGCCACGCTGCAGCACAGTGATGGATCTTTACTGCCCTCTTGTGGCCACTTCCGGCAATAGTTGCACTGACTTTTCAAGGGTGTGTGCTCGACAGCCTGAGGAAACCAGGGCCAACCTTCAAGATCAAAATTTTCCAGGGCTGGCAGAAGACTTAAAGCCCAATTAAAACCTTGGCCGGTGTGGCACAGTGGTTGGAGCATCGTCCTGTACTGCAAGGATTGCAGGGTCATCCCTGGTTCCGGCGTGGATCCCCAGCCTGAGTGCACATGAAGGCAACCAATCAATGCTTCTCTCACATCAATATTTCTCTCTCTTCCTTCTCTCCCTTCTTCTCACTCTCTCTCTTTTAAAAAAAAGGCAAATGAAAATGTCCTTGGGTGAGGATAAAAAAATAAACAAACAATTAAAGCCAGCTGCTCCAGAGCTCCTTAAGGGGACGGCGCAGTTCCACCTGACTTTGGCCCAAGTAGGAAAAGATTCAGGCCTCTGCTTTTGCCCCGCTAAGACAGTCAGTCCCTTGACCGTCCAGCTTGTCAGGAAAGGAACACGGCTCTTCTTCCCTCTCTGCTTGGAAAATCCAGGGTAAGAGGGCTGGAACTAGAACGTGCCCTCCAACCCCCACCCATGTAAATCAACAGTTAACTGAGCGCCTGTTTTGGGAACTGGTAAGTGCCATGGGGTGTAGGTGGGGTACACAAGAAGATATATAGTTCCCATCCCCAACTCATAAAGGTTACAAGCATAAATAACCTAGGCACACATAGAAGAGACACCAGGCCACTGGAGCAAGAGCTATCACAGAACAGAAATAAAGTGCTACGGGGCTGGCGGAGGGGGAGTCCGTGACAACCATGGAATAGGGGTTCCTGAAGGCAGGGGCCACTCAAGTTGGACTCTGAAAAATGAGGAGGACCTTACCCAGCAAACATGAGCGAGGAAGGCCACAATGATACCAATAACAGCTATATTTTGGGAAAACTGTTTATGCAGCAAGCACAGCTACGGGCTTTATAGCTATATGTTATTTAATCTCCACCATGATACTATGAGATAGGTATTATTTTCTCTCTTGACCAGAGAAGGAAACCAAGGCTCAAGGCCATGTATACAGCAAGGATTAATAGAAAACATAGAAAGTAAAAGCAAAAGGTGTGTTTGGGGCAAAGAGTCTATTATCATTAGAGTATCAGGTACACCTGGTCGGGTGGCAGAAAGGAAAAGTCAAGGGTATATGGTAGGGGGTGGTTATGGTGATCAGAAAGTATAGGAACCCCAAAGGTGAAGGGATTAAGAAGTACAAATTGGTAGTTACAGAAAAGCCAGGGGATGTAAAGTACAGCATAGGGAATACAGTCAATAATGTTGTAATAACTGGGTATAGTGTCAGATGGGTAAGAGGCTTATCAGGGTGATCACTTAGTAAGTTACATAATGTCCAATCACTAGGTTATACACCTGAAACTAACATAATATTGTACGTCAACTGTAATTGAAAAATAAAAAATTATTTCAAAAAAAGTATAGGAATCCCTGTAACAGGGGATTTGAAACCCTAAAGTGAATTGAGACTTCACTCTTTGGCTACTGGATAAAGTGCTGAGATTTCACCGCAAAGAATTCTGCTCAGAGATGCACTCTGGCTAATTCAGATGCATGGAGGGGAGCTCAGTGAGGCAGACACAAGAGGAAGGGAGATCTGTGCAGAGTCAGAGTCGAGGGGAGCCTGGTCAGGACAGTGAGCAACGGAGAGGGATGAGTCCTAATATCTTTACACAGGGAAGCTTTTGTTAAGATTGACTGGGAGGATGAAGAAGGGGGAGCTTCCCACCCTCAGGAAGACTTACATGTGGAGCCCTGCAAGCTGCATCACCAATGCCAGGGCCAACTAGGGGGAGAAAGAGCTCTGTTTTCCCATGGACTGGAAGCCTCATTCTTGCCCTACTATAGTTGTGCTACACCTCTACAACCATAGCAAGGCAAAGTCTGTTCAGATTGCAGACGACAAATCTTGAAAATTGTACTCAATGTCTACAACAAGTGAGGAATCTCAAGATCAAAAAGCAGCCTGTCACAAGAAGACACCATACCAGTTTGATGCTGTGACCTTCCCCCATCCCCAAAAGTCACGGAGGGTTTTATGTCGTTTCCCAGCAGTCCGTCAAACTTGGTTGGGTCCAAAGCCTGTAAGGAAATTCACCACCACCACCCTCCCTCCCACCACAGGCTTGGATTCCTGCTTCTGGCTGCCCGAGCGCTGGCAGCCTGCCCTCCTGCTCCTACTCTCAGGAAGTTGGCCACAGCTGCTGGTCACTTGTCACATCCTATCCAGGAGGTGGCAGTATTTCAATGGCAAAGCAACAAGTCCCCAGGCTGTGGCTACCAGTTTTAAAATTTTTTAGGAATTGTGTCATATTTCCAATGAATTTAGTAATGAATAAAGACTTGGGCTACCGGGAAATGGTGGCACTTCATACTTCCTATCTTAGATCAAAACATTTCCAGAGAAAATATTTATAGCAAGAATTCAACAAGCATTTTTTAATATACCAGGCACTGTGTAAAACACTTAGAAACTTCCTAAAACAGAGACTTGTTTTAACATTAAAAATATACCCATGACCTTTTCTCTACAGAGAGCTGCTACATGCCCCACTTTACCTTTCCTCCCCCAAAATGAGCACCCATAGCCGAGAAAAACTTTGTTCCCAATGCAAACGGTATGTCAGCTGTCCAAGACTGCGGTCTGCCCGCAGAATTCCTGCTGGCCACCTGGTCTTTTTTATTTTTTTAAGATTTTACTTATTTATTTTTAGACAGAGGGGAAGGGAGGAAAAAAGAGAGGGAGAGAAACATCAATGTGTGGTTGCCTCTTGCACACCCCTTACTGGGAACCTGGCCACAACCCAGGAATGTGCCCTGACTGGGAATCGAACCGGCGACACTTTCAGAGTTCTCAGGCTAGCGCTCAATCCACTGAGCCACACTAGCTAGGGAAGCCACCTGGTCTTTAACCTCACCTGCAGGTGCCCCTGACTCTTAGGCTTACCTCTGGTAGAGGGCTACAACTGTTCTCTAGCCCTCTTCAGAGTTCCAGACCTCTATATCCAACTGCTTTCTGGGCATCTTACATGTCTCAAAGGACATCAAGCTTGACTTGTCCAAAACCGAACTCACGATATCCTCCACCTCCACCCCATCCTCCTCCAGCGTCCCCTTATCTCAGTGAATACCACCAGCAGTCTAGAAATCACTCCCCACCCTTCCTTCCTCTTTACTCCTAGACAATCCCTCACAGCCATTCTACTTCTAAAAATATTGTTAAAGACCCATTTATCTCTTTGCATCTTAATCTCCACTTAGTACAAGCTACTGTAATCTCTCACCTAGACTTCGGCAGTAGAGTCCTAGCTGGTCTTCCTGCATCCTCTTGTCCTCTTCCATCTTTCCTCCACACTGAGGCTTGAATGCTCTCTTAAAAACCCAAATCTGATCGTTTCACCATCATTAACTCCCCGGGGCCTCACATTGCTCTTTAACTAGAGAGGCAGACACGAAACAGACCTCCTGGGGAGTCCAGGATTCCCCAGGACTGAGCAGGGACACCTTGCTTTTAGTTAACTTAGTGTTCTTGGTGCAATGATATTTTTTTTTGTAATGGCTAACAACCATACATCTGTTTCTGAGAAAGGAGACTGAATTACCTTGATTTCTGGGAACCATAAACTGTGATCATTCAGAAGGGGATAATAAGTCTTTCAAACAAAAACTTTCCATGTTTCCATGGACAGCAATACACGTTACTTCCTGAAGATCCTGTAAGATACATCTTTAAGCAGATGAGACCTTGAAAAATTAGCCAGGAGCAGGGGTTGGCCAACTATGACCTGTGGGCCAAATCTGGCCTGCCATCTGTTCTCATAAATAAATATTTGCTGGAACACAGTCACACTCACTGTTTGTGGATTGTCTAGCCGCTGGTACTCCAATAGCAGAGTTGACTAGTTACAACAGAGACTGTATGGCTTGCAAAGCCTAAAGGACCTGGCCATTACCGGGAATGGTTAGTTGGCCATGTTCTAGAGGTTCTCTGCTACAGTCTGCACATTAAAACCGCCTCCAGTGCTTTTAAATGGGTTCACCTCAGAGATTCTGATTATCTGAGGTAGGATCCAAACACTGGAATTAAAAACTTAAAGTTCCCTAGGTGATTTGTCTCCTTTCTGTAATGAATACCAACTACTGATATCTACAAAGCCCTGTAGAGCACATCACACATTACCTTATTTGATCCTCAGAACAAATCTGAGGCTCAAAGAACAGGAAGCACTGTCGTCTCTGCTTCGCCCATGAAAGAACTGAGGCTCAGAGAACGTAAGTCATATCCCCAAAGTCTCCTATTTAGTAAAGGGGAGCTAAGACTCATGGGCAGGTCTTCTGAATCAAGTCCACTGACCACTGACATTAATTATACAAGTTACATAATCTATAATTTTGCCATATGGAGTACTATTTGCTTCGGCGTCTCTAGGCGTGGGACCATGCCTTCCTCCCCAGGATGCTTAGAAATCTGCCTTCCTGAAGCAGACGACACTCTGTGGAGCCCCCAGGATCCTTCAGGGTCACTGTGAGGAGGAGAGAATGTGCGCATGCGGTGTGTGCACACCCAATCTCCGTGCCCTTACTTCCACCATAGCGGGCATATTTTTACCTGTTCGAATATTAGGATCCCACATACAATTTTTTTTGGAATAAAGAGTTATACCTTTGAAGACCACTGATCTAGTTCAGACCCCTGTCCACTGCTTTCATACAAGATGGCGTGGTAAGTCTGTCCCAAAATTCCTGTTACTTCTTATATCATTAACAAGTTCTTCCCTGTTGCCCTAAATGAAGTTCAAAACAATATTTTTTTCACAATACCAATCTTGGTATTGTTTTTGGAGAAATGAAAGACACCACTTTGAGCAGACCAGACTTGCCACAGCTGTTGGGGTAACTGAAGTCTCTTACTACCGCTTCTTGCCTACCTCGTGCACGCCGCATAGTCCACAGTCCGCGGAAAGCACCATCCTGGTCCGCTCTCCTGCTGGGCCACAGCATTTCTCCTGCCTGCTCACTGCCTCCTGCCCAGGCCACGGGCTCTCTACCTGCTTCCGTGCTTAGGCTTTCCTTTCCTGCGGAAGTGAGGCATTAGTGATGGGGGTGGAATGGGCTGAGATAAGACATCTTCTTGTACCTCTTCATGCTTCCAGGGAGAAAGGAACTTCTATTCCCCTCTCCACAGAGGTGAAAAGCCCCACACTGGGCGAGACACATCCAGCTTTTCATTCTATGACCTATTTGCACCTCTCCACAGGAGAAGGAGTAACTAATCTGATTGGTCAGAGTCCAAGACATTCAAAGGGCTGAGTTTTTATCAGGGCTGTGTACAAGGCGCGCTATTGTCCTGAACTGGGTCCTGATAAGTCAGGGTCTGTCCTCAAACCTGCCAGGAGGATTACAGTGGGAAGGGTAGGAAACCCCCCGCCGTGCATCTACTTTTCAGTTCCAAGCATGACAGGGCCACCCAGGGTCACACCCGTGGCATGACCTTATATTTCAACACTATTTGAGGAGGCAATATCAGTGACTTCTAGAGCCTCCCTGCCGAAAGCACCCTATTGCTCAGGAAAGACACAGTCCCCAGAACTTAATGAAAGACACTGTGGCCTTAAACAAACATGAGACATCTTCAACTTCTCATTTTAACAGAGTCATGTCTATTACTTTACTAATTCTCAAAATATGTGGTTCCTTTTTACATACATACACAAACACTTTTAAACATAAATACCAAATTCAAGAGAATCGGATGGGTAGATACATTTAGGAAGCCAACAGCATAGAATAGGCCAGTCACCAGATTTCACAAATGATCATCTGAACTCCTTCTCGGGACATTCAACTTGATATGCTGTCCTAAATATCCCACGCCACATGGTCCTCCAGGTCTTCCTTCAGGATTCTGAAGCAATCAATAGCCATACTTGTCATTAAGGTGGGTCCTGCCATCTCCACTTTGACCTACATCAGAGTATAAAGAAAGAGAGAATGTAATACATTCAGTTTTCCAAAGTCAGGAGGGAAAAGACATCAGTGGGCCAAAGAGTGAAACAAATAAAGGTTTCTTCCATAATAAAAACTTGATTTTTTACATACAATTTCAAAATATAGCCCTCTCTTCAACTTCTACCCTAACACTTATTAGCAAAAAAACAAACATTTCTAATAATTAAATTTCTCTTAATATATTAGAAACCCAATCCACAGAAAAAGCAAACTGTGATGAGCATACGGGAAACAAGCATGTTCTCTATTGCCTTAAGGATATATGTATGAATGTAAACTGGTACAATGTGATTTAAAATATCTTTAAAATGTTCACAGCTTCTGATCGAACATGTTAACTTTCACGAATTTTTTTCTACATGTGTACCTCTACACTTGCAGAATTATATACGTTAGAGGTTACTGATTGCAGAGTTGTTTATAAAGGCAAGAGGAGAAACGCAGCGAACAGTCACTGAGGAATCTGGTTAAGTAAGTAGCGGTATATCCACACCATAAAAAAGAACTATGCGCGCGCGTGCACGCACACGCGCACACACACACACACACACAAATCTATAAATAACTATAAAAGGGTGTCCATATAATGTTAAATGCAAAATAGCAAGGCATAGAATATACTTCCAATTTTGCAAATGACACTGTTTGACTTATCTGGAATAAGAAAAACATTTATATGAATAAACATTCAAAGTGACATAATTAGAAAATATTTTATTGTAGAAAACCCTAGTAACACTCCTTTCTGCCTTTTTTGTAAAACATCTCAATATTTCCTACTATAAATTTTGTGTAGTGTGAAGAGAGGGTTGATTAATAGGATAAACTTATTTCTATGATATCCTAACTGAGAAACAACATAACTATTCTTATTTTGACTAGTATATACTTCTCTTAAATACCAGAACTAATTAAACTCTTAATTCAGTTAACAAAACAATTAACACAATCTAATTAACTGAAGTTGCAGTGCTATTCATCAAGGTGAATACTTGTACTAGGTACTTACTTGAACTTGGGAAATAATAAATAAATTTAAAAAGGCATGTCATGGGTTTCATTTGGTGTTGTCTGTAACAGAGCCTACTACTGTCATGAATTTAGTTATTCTGAATGACAGATGATGCTCTTAAATAAATCTACAGAGGAAAAAAGAACATGCTTCCATTTGTGTAAAAAAAGTGGTGAAATATTATGTATGTTATTGCTTCCATAGGCATTTTATACATTTTATGTAATATATATAAGAAGCCATAAGAAACTGGTATTTAGTTGCCTTTAGAGGAAATAAACTGAGTAACTGAGGCAGAGCCAGATTTTTTTTTTTTCAACTTTAAAGAAAATTGAAAATATGAAAGTAAAGAGAAGGATATAATGAACCTCCTTGAGCCCATCACCAAGCTTTAACAATTATCAAGATATGGCAAACTCTGTCTTATCTATCACCCCTCCCCACCTTCCCTCATGCTCCACCACTGGATTATTTTAAGGCAAATATCATTCCATCTGTGAACACTTCTGTACATATTCCTAGAATATAAGGACTTTTTCTTAAAAAAAATGGAACTCAACATCACTCACACTTTTAAAAAATTAGCAATAATTTCCTAATATCCTCAAATATCTAGGCTAGTGTTTAAAATTATCTGGCTTATAACTTTTTCTTTTTTAATAGTAGTTTGTCTGAATAAGGATCCAGAATCTACAAATTATATTTGATTGATGTGTCTCTTTAGATCTTTTAATTTACCTGTTCCCCCAGAAGGGAGATCATTCCACTATATACTCTTGTAATTTTCTTATTTTGAACCTTAAATATATAGAAGTTAGCAAAAGTAGATTTACAGTTGTGAATACATGTACTACAGAGTTTATTCTCATATTGATTATTGTATTGATTGTACTGTTTATTTGTATTACAACTGTAAACCGACTTTTGCCTACCCCTGTAAATTACATATTCATAAATATACATAACTAAATCTTAGAGTAAAAATAAGTAAAAACAATCTACCTTCAGGTGGGACCCACACACAGTAGTCTGGGTCATCTTCTGGATATTTGGAGGAAAGTGCTGGTGGAGGCTGCAAAGAAAAGATAAAATTATTTTAAATAAAATAACCTAACTCTAAGATTATTGTTCCTATGCCTGTCAGCAAACAAAAACTAAGAAAGAACAGTTTTCCATTAATGACCTCAACAAAGTAAACAAAAACGGGTGAGCATTCTCTCTCTAAACCTTGACTTTTTTTTTTTAAGCCTCAAAGAGTTGATTTCAGTCAGTGAGAGTGATGTTTTTTAAAGGGGCAGTTAACACAGGTCTGACTCCCTTCCCTCAGAGGGAAGTTCGGCACTGGCCTTTCGCTCAAGGTGCAGGAACACGTTCTGCATAGCAAGCCTGGCTGCTATCCTTCGAAAGGCCTGTTTGTGAGCTGGCCCTTAGCTGGCATCTGGGAACTTGGATTTTGGGAGGGTTCCCACTATCCTAACTGATAAGAGGGGCTCACCATGCCTAAACCATTAGTAAAAACAAAGTGATTTGTACTGAACACCTGCATCCCTTCCTGAGAGTGCAACTGGGTACATGCCAGGCAAGGGATGCACCTAGTGATTTCAGTCCTCAATAAAGGTCCGGGTCATGCATCTCTAATGAGCTTCCATGGTTAGCAACAATTCACAAATTGTCACAATTCCTTGTTAGAGGAATTAAGCATATCCTATGTGACTCCACTGGAAAAGGACCTTTGGAAGCTTGCGCCTGGTTTCCCCAGATTTCACCCAATGTGCCTTTTCCTTTTGCTGACTGTGCTTGGTACGTACTTTGCTGTAGCAAATCACTGCAGAGAATACAACGGACATGCTGAGTCCTGTGAGGTCTCTTGTGAATTACCTAGCCTGAGGGTAGTCTCAAAGGCCTCCTGGGGAGACAACCTAGCAATCCCATTTCTGGGAACTGACCATATGCATACAAAATCATGTATATACAAAGTTACTCATAACGCTGTTGTAATAAAAGACAACCCAACAACCCAAGGGACTATCTACAGGGAACTGCTAAATAGGGTACATCAACATAGTAGGAAGCTCTTGGTGTACTTATATACAATGATTTCCACAATAGGTTAAAAAAAAACACCCCAAGATGGAGAATGTAGTACATTACATTCTATCTTCTGAGTAATAGAAGGAGAAAAATAAGAACATACTACTCAAATATCTTGGTATGGCATACTAGAATGTGAAAATTCGCTAATTAATGAAAGAGGTATGTGAGCAGTTACTGAGTAGATGGAGACAAGAATACAGAATTCGAAAGAGAAAATTAAAAAATAAAAATAAAATACAGCCCAGAAGAGGGGGTACGAGGCAGCTGGGAACTCTGCTAAGACAATCCTTAAAGACTCACTCATCAGGATGTGAGGGGATTCATTTTTACCTCAAGAGAAGTGAAGGTTATAACTAAAGTACTTACTTTGCCTGGACCGGGAGCTTTCTTTTTCTTCAATTCATCTCTGCTTTTCTCATGTTCATTCTTTAATGCTAATTTAAGAAAAAGGGAAAAACAAGAGGCAATGGCTATTTCAGAATAAGTAAAATAGAAAAACATCTTAAGATAGCATTATAATTCTTGAAGAAAAAGTAACAATCAAATTCTCAAAAATTCTTTCTACTATTATAAAGACTGTATATTAGAAGAATTTTCCCTTCAGTAATCACCTGGTTTTCCAATCCTAAGGCTATTCTACAAGCTTGAATATAATCACACCACTTGAATAAGTGAAGGGAAATGGGGCTGACTTTACTATACTACCATTTACCCATGACAGTTAGAAGCAGTAGAAAATCAGAAAAAAAGCCCTTTGAAAAGGCCAAACTTTTTTTTTTTTTTTTTAAAAGGTTTTATTTATTGTTTAGAGAGAGGAGAGGAGGGAGAAAGAGAGGAAGAGAAACATCAGTGTACAAGAGATTACCCCTTGCGCACCCCCAGCCTGGAACCTGGCCAGAAACCCAGGCATGTTCCTCACCAGGAATTGATCTTTTGGTTGTGGGATGAGACTCAACCCACTGATCCACACCAGTCAGGGCTGAATAGGCCAAACTTCCAACCAATTTCTTTGAATAGTTTTGAAATGATTCCCATGATAGGCACATATTCAACTCTGGGAACTGTAAAATTGTGGAGGGGGCTCTGCGGGGCCAGAAGGAAGCCGAAAAGCATTAGGCCCTTTGTGGGCCAGGGAGAGGAAACCCCAGGAGGCAGAAGAGGAATGAAGAAAGGCAAGCACGATGGCACCGAACATACACCTCTCATCTATGCCAGTTCTCTCCAGGGCCCTGGCAGCAGCACCTGCCAGTGTCTTAAAGGCCATTCTCTGCTGCTTCAGGTCAGCTGCCGCCCCTCCTCTAGGACACCCTAAGGCTGCTTGTGTGTGGAGTTGCAAGGAGCCGTCACTTGCCTGAGGGTTCCCCCTGTGATGCAGCTGTTTCGCTAATTTCTTGGTAATCTTTATTCTGTTCCACTTGGCTGAGTTGAGACATGTTATCTATAAAACGCAGAGCCAAAGCGTATTGTTATGATTTCACTCATGGTGGGGAACCAGGCAAACAAAAACAAAAGCAAAAAAAAGCTAAGTACATACACAATCATCCAGGTTTACTATCTTTAGCTTCAACTAAAATTAAGTTTTCAATAAATGCACCTTCAGATGTCTAACAGAGAATTGCTAATTTTCCACTTGAAAACTGGCCACCTTGGAGATAAAACTTTTAGCAATATTTAGCAAAACCTTAAAAATGTACATATTCTTAGAAATTCTACTTCTAGGAACATATTAAAAAAATAATCAGAGCTGAGTACCAAGATTTATTATATACAACTATGTTTAAAATAGCCAAAATGAACAAATAACTTAGGTGTGTAACAACAGGAAGTTCATTAAATAAGTTATGGCACATGCATATGATAGGCCACAATGCCCCTTATTAAAACCACATTTTAAAAGAATATTTAAAACATATTTTTTAAAAAAATTATAAACAGCATATGCAGTATGACTCCAATATTCTAAAACAAACAAAATAGCCTGAAGTAATCCTAATCAACTGCAGATTTATTAACTAATGCATCTTATAAACCAATTTTAAAATCTGCTATTTTTACACATATATTTGTTTTGGTCCCTTAAACAAAACAAAACAAAACAAAAAAATACAATACTTACTGCTCCCTTTCCTGTTCTATGGATCTAATGTATGGATCAAAGACCAGATTCAGAAAAAGTACGTATAAGGACCTTTTTTAAAAAGGCCAACCATTTTGCCAATAACTAAACAAAGGAAAATGCAAAAAAAACCAAAAGATTTACCTCTCTTGGGGGAGGAAATGGTAATTTTTTAACAACTGAAGGTGATTCAAGAGAATGTCTACATACCACGCCTGGTGTTTCATGCAGACAAGCTTGGTGTGCCTTGGATGAAGACATGCACAGATTCCCACACACATTAAATGCCAGTTGTTCCCCGCCCCCCTTGCTCCCTATCTGCTTTGCAGACTTAACCTTGCTAAACAGTCTGGCCAACCTGCAGGAAAATAACCCCTGCGGTTGCCAAGGGATGAGAGGATTCTGAAAAGATAAACAGTTTATGTTTCGGGATGAGATTGTGGGAGATTTCTCGCTTCTTCTTCGGACTTTTATGTATGATTCAGTTTCTAAATAAACATATATTCCTTTATAATCAGAAGAAAATACATTTAAAAACCACTCAATTCCCCTTCTCATCAAACCCTCGCTGTGGTTGGTAAATACTATGTTCCAGGTTCTCTGCTAGGCACCATGGACAAAAAAAAGAATGTCATGATGCTTCTTCCTGAGAAGTATGTCCAATGTGTACAATTACGCACAGTGTCTGATTTAGGATGGGTGGGGAATGAGCCAGGGGAGGCTTATCCTGAGACCACCTAATCAGGCCTCACTGCCCACCATATTCCACTGCCCTCCAATCATACAATAGCACAGGACTGACCACAGTAGCTGGGGTTTCAGATTCCACAGCTTTCCATTTTCCATAATTCTGAAACAGACTGGAAATACGTGCCCTTATTTTGCAATGAGGATAAAAAATGACTGACAGTTGAAGTATGTTTACACAGAGCCAGCTGTATCACACATCACAAAGTATTCCGAAGTCAAAAAATGCACAGGCAAGAACTGGCTTTGCTTTTCAAAGCTATCCACAACGAATGCAAACGTATTATATAAATAAATAAAGACATCACCGTGCTGTTTTGCTTCTTTAGAACACGTCAGATCTGTGGGCAGACTCACTCCTTGCACTGCCTCTTCTGGCCCTCTCTCCTGCTGAAGCCCACTGCTTCCAGCCTCCGGTTTTTTGGTTTCCTCATCTTCCTTTTCTTTCTCCTCTTCTTCTTCCTCTTCTTCCTCTTCTACTTCAGGCTCATCCTTCATTCTCATTAGAGCTGGAGGGAGTTCAGGACGCTTGGGGGGTAACTTCTGTAAGGAAACAAAACCAGAAACAAGTAGTTTTACATAATGATAAAGAAACGTACCTCTCCCAGGGGGTTATGCTAAATGCATAGAATGTCTAACCTCTGTATGTTGATAAACCCTGCCAAAGTTTGCTGGAAGTAGGACTTACACATGAAATTTTATCCATCTATGGACCCTTAACAAGTATCTCTATTAGTGTATAGGGCCAAAGGGATATTAAGTATAAAACATTGGACAGTGCCTGTAAGGAATTTAAAAATCATTCCAGGTGAGTATCGGCTGCAGGAATTCTGTCCTGTTACCCCTTCATGATGTTAAAGGGTCTTAACTCATTACCAGATCTTCTAGAGAATAAATCGGACATACATTTCTAAGAAATAAATCATTTGTACAGCCTTTTCATTTTAGATTTAACACAACTTCAAGGAAATAAGACATGTAAGTAAGTAAAACAGATCCTGAGGAAAGAGAAGACATTTCTTGAAGAATAAGGCTAACTATTCTAATCAAGACCTTTCAATAAAATTATTAGAAAAAGTTGGTCACAGCTTAAAGAAGACAGAAAAGGTACCAAAGTATATTTTGGGTATATCATGTTTTAGTTATAGGATTTATTTCAGTAATCATCTAAGAAGAGCTTTTTAGTACAGAGGTTTTTCTTCTAACTAAAGCACAAGTAACCCCTGCTTCCCGCACCCTAACACACACAACACAGAAAAGCTTCCCCATCTCAGGTGAACCACCTACTTACTCAGAACAAATGGCTGGGACTTCAGAACTCTGCCACCAGAGGGCAGTTTACCCTGGCTCAGTAAAAATAAGGCTGTTAGGATGGAGCCCTAATGCAATGTGATTGGTGTCCTTAGAGGATCAAATGCACGAAAGGATGACCGTGTGCAGATGAAGCAAGAGTGCAGCCACCTACAAGCCAAGGAAGAAGGCCTCAGAGGAAACCAACCCTGCTCACTTGTTGATCATGGACTCCTAGCTCCAGAATTGTGAGAAAATAAATTTCTGTTGTTTAGGCCAACCCAGTCTGTGGTATTTTGTTATGGCAGCCCTAGCACACTGATACACAAGCTTCAGCTCTTTGGGGTGATGAAAACCTTTTAAAGGCTGAAACTACAAATAGGGATGTACCTAAAGCAAAGCATACATCCGTGAACTATTAGAGAACAGTAGAAAGGTCACAAAACTCAAGAGACAGAATACCTGGATTTGATGGCCAGTCTAATTACATACTGATGGTGTGGTGTCATCTTGTATTTAACCTCTCTGACTGTTTTCTCACCAGGGAGAGGTAATAATTTCCACACGTGACAAGGCATTAGAGGGATTAAATGAAGCAAGGAAGGACCACAAGGCAGAGCCAGGTGCATAGACTGTTACCGACAAATATTAGTTGAGTCTGAGTATTACAACACCTATCCACCAGGACAGAAGCATTTAATGTAGAAGAGCTGTTCTTAAATGTAACATTCACCACAAATTAATCAACTGGCATTCTAATTTATAAATCAGTTACATGCAAATTGATGGGCATAAATCAATTTATTCTTTTTGTTTTTTAATTTTCTTTTCTTTTTATTTTGTTGTATTTTTTTTGCCCCCTCCTCCTGCCCCCATTAATTCTTGATAACCCTAAACTGAAAAGAAAAATCCAAGAACCAAGACCTGACAAAGATGGGGTCATACCAAGTCCACAGCCCTTTTTCACATTACTATGAAAAAAATGACTCATAACATGAAATGAGTCATCTGAACTTTGAAAGGAGGAAAATTAGCTCAAATAACTCAAAAGCCAGAAGTTTAACACCCTGACCCACAACTTACCCCTACTGTTCCAGTTTTTAATTTGAACTTGCTTCCTCCTTTCATGGCACCAAAGAGAGGCAATGGAAGCTTTTTAGCTTTATTTTCAGCATCTACAGTGTGATTTTCAGTCCTAGGAAGAAAGAATAATCATATACATCTATTGCAGTGAGGACAAGAATTTACGTAAAAACACCATGACACTGACAAAGAAACTTTTATCAGAACAAAAATTTCTACAAAATGAATATTTAAGCACATACCAATATGAAAGAGGTATTCGGGCAAACAGAATTAGAGTGGACAATGACACTACAGATTGTCATGGACACAAGAGTTATTAAAGGCAACATGAGGCTCCTACCTTAAGTCTAGTAATTTACACCATGCCAAATGCTTTCACACTCATAAAATGATGCTTATAGGACAAAGGCCACTAGCAATGTGTAATCACTACCTCATCCCCCCCACTAAGCGGCAGGAGATGGATCCATGGTGAAAGCCCTATTTTCACCAACATCTCAAGAGGACTCAAAGTACCTTTCTTTCCTAGTGTCTACGCTTACAACCACACAAAACAGCTCTGAGCACAGAAGTGTAAAACAAAATGTGTGTCTGTCCGTGTGTATATGTGCGTCGGGGGCAGGAGGAAGGACACCCTGTGTAGTGAGTAATGACAAAGGCATAATGAGAGATTGTGCAATGATGAGTTTGTCAAAGTTCTCGTTGGCCAGACATAGTTACAAAGGCTAAGCCCACTATCCCTGGCTAGTGTGCTTCAGTGGATTGAGTGCCGGCCTGCAAACCAAAAGGTCACCAATTTGCTTCCCAGTCAGGGCACATGCCTGGGTTGTGAGCCAGGTCCCCATTTGGGGGTGAGCGAGAGGCAACTGATGGATGTATCTCTTGCACACTAATGTTTCTCTCTCTCTCTTTCCCCCTCTCTGTAAATAAATCAAAAAAGCTAAGCCAGGTAAAGCTGAGGAAAGTCAAAATGAACATCTTGTAGAAAGAGATTGCAGAAATTAGGAAAAAAAACAAAACAGAGCAGCCCTGACTAGCGTGGCAGTTGGTTGGGTGTCATCCTGCAAAGCAAAGGTCACCAGCTCAATTTCCAGTCAGGGCACATGCCTAGACTGCAGTTCAGTCCCTGGTCAGGACACGTGCAAGAGGCAACCAATCGATGTTTCTCTCTCACATCAATGTTTCTCCCCCTTCCTTCCTCTCTCTCAAAAAATCCTATAGCAATGTATATTTCACAAATGAAATAGGTTTTTAGTTACTCTATGAAACCACAGTCTTCTGTACTTTAAAGAATTTGTCATACAATATTTCTATTAAAAACTGATTATCTACAAAGATAAAAATATAATTCAAAATGTCATCTTTGCAAACATGCTTATTTAAAATTCCAAGTGCGTATTGCAGTGATCACTTCATAAATTATATAAATGTCTAATAAGCCCTTGCTGAGTACCTCAGTTGGTTGGAGCATTGTCCCTGATACACCAAGGTTATGGGTTCGATCCCCGGTCACGGCACATACAAGAGTCAACCACTGAATATATAAACAAGTGGAACAACAAATCGATGTCTCTCCCTCTCTCTCCCCCTACCCTTTCTCTCTCTAAAAAGTCAACAAAAAAAATTTTTAAAAATAAATAAATGTCTAACCACTGTGTTGTACACCTGAAACTAATATAATATTGCATGTTAACTGTAAGTGAAAAATTAAAAAAAAATTTAAAAACACAAATAGTGATTACACAGAAAAAAGATTTTTTTACAAAATTCCAAAAAACAATAAATAAATAAATAAAATACCAAGTATAAGACTTACTTTTTTAGTTCTGGAATCTCCGCTGGCTTTACAATTTTTATCAACCCTTTCAGTCTCTGTTGTTCTTTCCTCAGCTCAAAAGTTCTCAGATGAAGTTTCTTCCGGGACACACCATCTAACGCACTCCCTGATTTCATTTCCGACATGAACGCATCTAATGAGTCCTGAGACGGTGACTCTGATAGAGCTGTCAGGAGAGAGAGAATACATGTTTAGAAAGATGGCTGCAAATGTTTTAAAGTTCAGCCAAAGTTTCCATAGAAAAGTCACTAACATAGAGCTGGACAAAGGGCATTCCTGACATTAGGAATAAGGAAGCAGGTTATAGCTGGGAGACCATGGGACATCACCTTGCCTCAATGGGTTCACTCCCCTCATATACTGAATAAAGAGGTTGCACCAAATAAGTTATAATGTTCTTTCTACAAGTTCCAAAATGCTATGTTGTTCCAAAATGCTATGTTGTTCCTTAGAAAGGCTCCACATTCTGTATGATGTATCTTATTAACCAATGTAGCCCAGTGTCTAGCATAGTGCAAACTATATGGTAAGTGCTTGATAAATATTTAATGAGTCATTCATTGCCTTACCTTTGCTTGAGGCTTTCAGTCTCTCAGAAATTTCAGAGAGTTCCCTTTCAGCATCGTTTAACTTTGCAACCTATAACACAAATTAACAGGGTTAGCAAATGTTTTTCTTCTTTCAAAATACTGCAGCTTTCTCCTCATATTTCTGCTATTGTTATAAGTTTTAAGAGGATCAATTCAAAGTCTAGTTAAATCTGTTCCTTACGGAGTTAACATTTTTCATTTGTTTATTTAATGCTAATCAAATTAATTTCTGAATTAAAGAACTCAGAATTAAAGAGAATAAGTGTATAGAACACAGACTTTATTTTGCTCAAAAGAAAAAGCTTAAGATATTTGTTTTCAATGATAAATCAAAAGCATAGATGCTGGGTAGTGTTTTAAGCTCCAAATACTACTTAATATAGTGAAAACACCTACTACCTTATGATAATTTCATGAAGGATACACTGTTTAAGACTATTATCAAACTATACTACTCAAAATTCCTTTCATGTTTTTTGACTGCTAGAAGCCTAAAGTCAAATTCACCTCAGACTATCCCCATTTCTAACTTTTTCCTTTCTTTTTTGGCAGGGTAACATCATATCCTAAGAATGCTCACTAATGGACCACTATCCACCTAGAGGTGGATAGACTCGAGCAGCAAGCCAAACTTTTTTCCAACTTACTTAAGATTTGTTGTTACTATCAACTGCAGACCACAAAAGTTACACTTTAGTACCAGATTTTGATGCTACTGCTTTAAAAATTATAATTATAAATAAATTTAAATAGCCCTGGCCAGTGTGACTCAGATGGTTGGAGCATCATCCTGTAGACCAAAAAGTTACGGGTTCATTTCCCAGTCAGGGCACATACGCAGGCTGTGGGTTCAATCCCTGGTTGGGGTGTATATGAGAAGGCAACCAATTAATGTTTCTCTCTCTCTGTCCCCCTCCACCGCACCCCACCCCCCGCCCCCGGCTCCTGTCTCTCCAAAAAAGTGAGAAAATGTTCTTGGGTGAAGATAAAAAAAAATAAAATAAAATTTAAAAATAAATAAAAAGTTTAAACAATACATTATTTTACTTTTAAAAAATTAAACTACTACAGCTACTTCTATAAATAAAACTTGCCAATGATTCAAATGTCTCTGGCTTTTCATCGATCTTCCCAGCCTTCTTCATTCGGTTCAGACGCTTCTTCTCAACCAGGCCAGTTCGATCAAGAAATGTGTCATCATCACTATCATAAAAGTCTTCATCTTCCCAGTTCTTTGCTTTCCTTTTCCGAGATACTAGAGATAGACAAAATAAATGGTAATAAAATTAGTTTAAAGAAAAGAAAAAGAAAGCAAATCGCTTAAAATGTCACCATCGAGGCCAAGATGGAAGCATAGGTAGATATGCTTCACTTCCTCACACTTCCAAAAGAAGGATAACAACCAATTTAAAAACAAAAACAGAACTGCCGGAAAATCAAACTGTATGGAAGTCTGACAACAAAGAGGTTAAAAAAGATACATTCATCCAGGTGGGTAGGAGGGACAGAGACAGGCAGCCAGGGTGGAGAGAAAGCACAGCAAGGTGGCAGATGGCAGAACCCACATTTGCATGTGGATAAACCAGGAGGAAAAACTGGGGAGCAAGACAGACCATGCAACCCAGCTTTCCAGTATAGGAAAAGAAAGCCTCAAAACCTCTGGCTGTAAAAACCTGTGGGGGTTGCAGCAGTCAGAGGCACTCCCAGTCTCACAGGAGAGTCCACTGGAGGGACCCATGGGGTCCTAATATGTACACGAACCCACCCACCCAGGAATCAGCACCAGAAGGGCCCAATTCACTTATGGGTAGCGGGGTAAGTGACTGAAAGCAGGCAAGAGGCACTGTTCCCTCTCGGACCCTGCACCCACATACAGCACCACAAACACAGCAAAGTCGGTTGCACTGCCCGGGTGAATATCTAAGGCTCCACCCCTTACAATGTAACAGGTGTGCCAAGACAAAGAAATATGGCCCAGATGAAAGAACAGATCAAAACTCCAGAAAAAGAACTAAGCAACAAGGTGATAGCCAACCTATCAGATGCAGAGTTCATAACACTGGTAATCAGGGTGTTCACAGATATGATTGACTACAGATGCAAAATAAAGGAAGAAGTGAAGTCTATACAAAGTAAAATAAAGAAAAATAGAGAGAGAGCCAACAGTGAAGGGAAGGAAACTGGGGATCAAATCAACAATTTGGAGCAGAAAGAAGAAATAAACATTCAACCAGAACAGAAAGAAGAAACAAGAATTCAAAAAAATGAGGAGAGGCTTAGGAACCTCTGGGACAATTTAAACATTCAACATCCAAATCATAGGGGTGCCAGAAGGAGAGGAGGAAGAGCAAGAAGCTGAAAACATATCTGAAAAAATAATGAAGGGAAACTTCCCCAATCTGGTAAAGAAAGTGGACTTCAAGGAGATCTAGGAAGCTCAAAGAGTTCCAAAGAAGTTGGACCCAAGGAAGCACACACTAAGATATATAATAATTAAATTATACAAAATTAAAGATAAGGAGAGAATCTTAATAGCAGCAAGAGAAAAGGAGACAGTTACCTACAAAGGAATTCCCATAAGACTTATCGGCTGATGGCCCATAAAACTATCTTTCTTACAGGCAAGGAGGGGCTGGAAAGAAGTATTCAAAGTCATGAAAAGCAAAGATCTACATCCAAGATTACTCTATCCAGCAAAGCTATCATTTAGAATGGAAGGGCAGATAAAGTGCTTCCCAGATAATGTAAAGTTAAAGGAGTTCATCATTTCATATAATAAAGCCTTATTATATGAAAAATAAGGCTTTATTATATGAAATGTTAAAGGGGCTTATCTAAGAAAAAGATAAAAACTACGAAGAGTAAAATGACAACAAACTCACAACGATCAACAACTGAACCTAAAGAACAAAAACAAACTAAGCAAACAAACAATTAGAACAGGAACAGAATCACAGAAATGGAGATCACACGGAGGGTTATCAGTGGGGAGGGGGGAGAAGGGAGGAAAAGGTACAAGGAATAAGAAGGATAATTGGTAGGTACTAAAAAGAGGAAGGTTAAGAATAGTATAGGAAACGCAGAAGCCAAAGAACTTATGTGTACGACCCATGAACATGAACTAAGGGGTGGGAAACACTGGAGGGAGGGGGTATGTATGCAGGGAGGGCAGAAAGGGATAAAGGGGAAAAATAATATTTGGGACAACTGTAATAGCATAATCAATATAATATACTTAAAAAATAAAAATAATTTTGTAACTATTAATGACGACTTATTGTCATTTTGCAACATAGACACACATTGAATCATTACATTGTATACATGAAACTAATATGTTTTGTCAATTATTACTCAATAAAAATAGAGTATTTTTTAAAATGTCACCACTGATTATTAAAAGGCAAGATTCAACAAGGTACCAAACTATATGTGAAAACAAAAGACTACACCTGGGAGACACCATGCTAAGTGAAATAAACCAGATACAAAAGATATATATTGCATGATTCCACTCACAGGAGGTACCTAGAGTAGTTAAATTCATAGAGACAGAAAGTAGAACAGTGGTTACCAGGAACCAAAGGGGATGAAGAAGGGGAAGTTGGTGTTTAATGGGTACAAAGTTCTGAAGATGACCGTGGCCAGGTCGCTCAGTTGGTTAGAGCATCATCTAGATACACCAAGGTTGTGAGTATGATCCCCAGTCAAGGCAAATACAAGAACCAACCAATGAATATATAAATAAGTGCAATAACAAATCATGTCTCTTACTCTCTCTTCCTTCCTCTATGTCTAAAATCAATAAATTTTAAAAAAATTTTTTTAAAGTTCTGGAGATGGACAGCAGTGATGATTTCATAACAATATGAATGTATATGATGCCACTGACCTTTACATTTAAATATGCTTAAAATGATAAATTTTGTCATGTATATTTTACCACAATAAAAAATTAAAACAAAGGCTAATTTATTTAATAAGCAAAAGGCTCTTAAAAAATCAGCAAGTAAAAAAGGAAAAAGAAAAATGAGGAAAACGACAATAACCCAAAAGAAAATTTGAAAAAGAATAATAAAAGCAGTTTATATTTTAAGAAATACCAATGGTCAAAAAACATTCGAAAAAATGTTAAACTTTTAAAACTACAAATTAAAACAATGAGATACAACTTCTCACCTATCAGACTAGAAAAAATCATAAAAAGGTTAATAATAACCAATTTGGCAAGGGTATGGGGAAATGGACTCTCGAACAGTTGGTGGGAATGTACACTGATAGAATCTTTTTCACGTTCAATATTACAGCATCTGTCAACATTAAAATACAGTGATCCGGCACTTCTACTTCTAGGAGTTTATACTATAGATATAAAGGATCATTATTTACAAGAGCAAAAATCTGGAAAGTCCATCACCAGAGGACTATGATAGCTATTAGTTTTTTGTCTGCTCTTATATCATCATACTCTCCTTTGCTGTAATAAAAGTACCCCCTTTCCTCTAGAAAACTCCTTCCCCATTCCACTTTGATTAAGGCTGTCATGGGACCAAAGCTGCGCACTAAGAATTCTTCCCTCCCATTTATATTTAAATATAGGGCAAAAAGGCTCTCTTCCAATGAGGTTATTAAATTAAGAGGCTATAAATCCATGGCATAAGAATCTGTCTGCAAAATAAACTATGCACTCCTTAGACAGACCTGCTTACAGATAAACATACACATAGTTTCTATGTGTCCTGGTTTGGTCAGACTAAGTTCTGCTTCCAGAACTTAAGGTCCTGATTCATGGAGTTCTGCCTTCAGTCCTGTGAGCTGTTCTTCCCAGTTTCTGGAGCCAATAGCCTTTCCCCCTAAGCTTGTATAAATTAGGTTCCTATTATTTGCAACCAAAATAGTCCTTGTTAATATAAGTCTGATAATTTCCAGGTTAAGATGATACACTGAACCTAAGATACTAAATTTTACTTTCTACCCAAACCCCACTAAAATTGCAGTAAAGTGATCTTTTCTACAGGCACTAATCCATCAGACAGAGAAGAAAGGGGAAGAGGTAGCAACATCATATTTTTGGATATTAGAAAGCAAACAGATATGTGGAAACTAACTAAGCAGAACTGAAAAGACAAATCCTAAAGCAGCTGTGGGGAGAGCTGAGAGGCAATGTGGTTACAGCCCAGAATCCTCAAAAGGATCTGGAGTTGGTGATGGACAGAGTGCTGAAAAAGGAGGGCCAAGCACGGCGGGGTGAGAAACAGACCCTCCTCCCGCCTACTCATCTCCTTCCCATCCCCCGAAAACACTCAGAGGTTAATCTCTAGAAAGGGTAGGACAGAGGGTCTCTGGACTGTGAGTGGACTGCTACAGTTGAGGGCATGGGTGCTACACCCCAGAAGCAGCGCTGTCCTGAAAGCAGCTGAGTGCTGAGAAGCCCCTCAGCCAGCTCCTGCTACAGAGCTCGAGGCACGCTGGCAGCCAGGCCCTTCCTGTCATGCAGGAGCCTGGGAGAACTCCTCTTGGGGGAATCTTGCCAGAACAAAAGGAAAGACCTAGGGATACTTATATGAGAAGTTCCCACTTAAATACGCCAAGCTATCACTCACCTCTTTCATCCCAAAATAAGAATCTACAACAAGGGACTGCATGACACCTGAGAAAATCCTCTAAAATGCAGAATAGACATCAAACAAACAAAAAGAAAAAGCAACCCGGAGAAAACAGATTAGCGGAGAAATGAGATAATTCCAAGAAATAACAACCAGATATTATCTTTTAAAAATGAAAATTCAAAGATAATGAGCTTTGGGAACTAAGATCTTGAGAGCAAAACAGAGACTGAAATATAAAGGTGCAGAAATCTCCCACGAAAAACAAGAACACATAGAGAACGAAAAAAAGACAAGAAACTTAGATGGTTAGTACAAGAGGTTCAGTATCTAAATAACCGAATTCCAGAGAAACAAAGCAAACAGAGAAATGAACTAATCAATGGTACAATTCCAGAAATGTTCCTGAACTGCCAAGGTTTCCAGTTGTAAAGGACCCAATAAGCACCCAGGAAGTGGGCAAATAGACCCATAGAAAGTTATACCATGGATAGTGAAAGGTAGTGAAGTTTCGGAACCTTGAGAACAAAGGGAAACTCTTGCAAGCTTCTAGTGAGAGAGGAATAGTGCTCTTCAGGAGAAATGTTTCCCCCAAATATTAGAATTGATTGAATTCTAATCGCAAATTACTTAATGTGATTGACCATGTCAAAAAACATACTAAAAAAATCTTGAAAGATGTGGGAAGAATGAGCAAGAAGTACAAAAAAAAAATCAAACACATGAAAAACAAACACAATTATTAATTAAAATATAGTTAATATAAAATATTATATTAGTTTCAGGTATACAACATAGCTAGCTGTTCAACATTTATATACCTAATGAAGTGATAGCCAAGTTAAGTCTAGTAACCATCTGACCCCATACAAGGTTATTACGATAATGACTATAGTCCCCATGGTGTACATTTCATCCCCGTGGTTTATTAATTTTTTAACTGTAAATTGGTACCTCTTATTCCCCTTCATTATTTTGGCCCTTCCCCTCACACCCTTTCCCTTGGCAACCATCAGTGTGTTCTCTATGTCTATGAATCTGTTTGTTTTGTTTTGTTTGTTCATTTAAAACAAACACAATTATTAATTTTGGGAAAAATAAAAAGAATTAAAAACTACTCAGTTGTGACTAACACTTGCATAAGCACAATCACACAACTACTAACCCTAATTTAACAGAGACAACAGATGACTAGACGACTAGGGGTGAGGACGGAGGGACAGGGCAAGGAGCAGGTGTATTTTGTTATAAGCCTTTGGTAGTTTAAAACGATACATAAGCTACAATAATAAAAAAATAATTTTAGAATAAAATGTAAGCCTTATCAGTAAATGACTGTATAGCCAGTTTTTTAAAATGCAGTAAACAACGTAATGATGTGGATAATTTCCCTGATACACTCTTATTAAAAAAAATAAGTCACTAAAGAATATAAATAATGTAGCCGCATTTGTCTATAGGTGTTTTTTGTTTAAAGATCTAGTTCTGAACACACATCTGTGTGCACAGAAAATGTCTGGGAGAATATAAACAATGGCTATCTTAGGGTATTGAAATACAGAATTTTTCCTTTTCACTTCATAGAATTCTGTACAATATACATTTTCCTTCTAAAAAGAGGTACTAGCCCTGGCTGGTATGGCTCAGTGGATTGAGTGTCAGCCTGTGAACCAAAGAGTCACCGGTTTGATTCCCAGTCAGGACACATCCTGGGTTGCAGGCCAGGTCCCCAGTTGGGGACATGCAAGAGGCAACTGACTGATGTACCTCTCACACATCAATGTTTCTCTCCCTCTTTCTCCCTCCCTTCCCTCCCTCTAAAAATAAATAAATAAATTCTTTAAAATAAAATAAAATAAAATCCCCTCCTTTCTTCTTCTTTCTTTTAAAAAAAAAAAAGTTACCACACTCACCTGCCTCCTGCCGCAGCAATCCCAGAGTGTCAAGGATTCGACAAGCTTCCAGGGAGCACTGGATCATTGCTTCTTTTTTCTTTCCTGAGTGAATAGCCTCGGCCACCAGTTGTTTTCCAGTTGAATCATCCACAGGTAATCTGCATTGGTTTAGAGGGCATTATAGCACAGCACTTTAGGCTCCAATTCTAACATAAAAAATTAATGTTATGGTAATAGTCATTTTTTTGTGATGGCTTTTCAATCTCTTGGTTCATTTTGCTCTATCTTGCCAAGGTTAGATTTCAAATTTTTTCCTTCCAACTCTTATTCCTGTTCCACCCTACCCCCCAATAATATAAGTGTTATATGTTATATGTATATATAACATATACAACATATATAATATATAATATATATGTTATATGTCCCTGTTCCACCCCACCCCCCAATAATATAAGTATTACTAAACTATAAAGATCCCAAATCAGGAACAGCCTAAAATTAAAACTAAAGTTACTCTTTGGACTGTTTTGTTTTGTTTTTTTTTCTTTTTTCTTCTTTTCCTGTGTTGCCATCTCATCCTCTGGAGCTCAGGCAAGTAATGTCAGCTCCCCTTCAACTAGAGGCAAGGAGCCCCTGCCAGACACCGCCTGCTATCTGGGGAGCTCCTGGACTGTTGACTACTACCATAAATTAAACCAGAAATTGGCCACTTTCCAGAAATGGACATGAATGAGAAGAGAACATACCTCACCCTGCACAGCCAAGTGCTATGTCCCTGTTCATCAAATTCATATTCTAATTCTTCTCCTTTGAGAGGAAGAAAGACAAGGCAATTTTAATAGGATCTAAAAAAGTTGATACAAAGGGTAAAGAAAACGAAAGTTAAATAAAGAGTATCAAGATCCCCTACCACACTGAAAACTAAGTTTCAACCCATTTCAGTTCTTACTCCTATGGATTATTATGTGATAATAAAATTAGGATAAGCATGATGCAGGAAAAAAAGCAAACTCTAACCAAAACAATCAACTCTCCATATATAGCTTTGTCCACTGTACAGTAGCTTTCACATTTTTAATAAATTGTAGACATAAGTTATTAAATTGTAAAAACTGCCTGGTTTTTAGAAGCATCAATATTAAACAAAGAGTACAACCAATTCATCTTATTCATTGACTAAACACTCACACATCTATCCATACACATGCACACACACAGATGTTCCTTCAACACATCACTAATGAAACAATCCTCAGTGGAATTATTTTTTAAATCCTATAAAGTCAAAATCCATGCTAAGAATTACAAAATATCAGGTGAATTAGAAAGAGAAAATTACAAGAAGTTAGATCAATCTCCCGCCACCAAAGTCTAGGATTGTTTTAAAAAAATGAGGAGAGCCAAAAAAAAAATCCTTTTTTCCAAGATGAGAAAAACTAACAAAACTTTTAGTATTTTAAAAGTAAACCTGACACAACTGACCACAAAGGCAAGTACCTCAACCAGGAAGATAGCAGATAAAATATGGCATTTCTAAACACCTAAAGACCTAGAAAACAACACTGCTGAGGACATATTCCACCAGGAGGGTCAGAAAATGTTTACATACCTTCTCGGTCGAAAAAACCTTGCAGAGCCTTTTTTGGGTCCTTTATATAAAAGGCCTCCCTTTCCTGCTGAAACTCTAAAACAATGGGGTTCTCTTCAGCCTCATCCTCTACAGCATCTTCTCCTACAGGATATGAAAATGAAAGCAAAGACAGTCAAAGAAGAGACCATCTGAATGATACTCACTATCCTTTCAGCCTTCATAAAGATACAGGTATCAGTGATGAAAAGGAGAGGTGGTAGGGAGAACCACCAAAAACTACCACTAGAGACATCTTCAGGTTTTCTAAATTGTGTGAGAAGTTAAAACTTGTTTTTGTGCCACTTTTTTCCCCTCTATCACTCTATTTTATTTTTTTAAAGATTTTATTTATTTATTTTAAACAAAGGGGAAGGGAGGGACAATGAGAGGGAGAGAAATATCAATGTGTGGTTGCCTCTCATGTGCCCCCTACTGGGGACCTGGCCCACAACCCAGGCATGTGCCCTGACTGGGAATCGAACCAGCGATTCTTTGGTTCACAGGCTGGTGCTCAATCTACTGAACCACACCAGCCAGGACTATCACTGAATTTTAAAAGCAAAATTACCTACCACATTTTCTATGGAAAAAATATCTAAGCTCCAGGTCTCATATTTTGTCTCGAATATAATTTCCTAATGCTTCTTACATCTGCCAAATAAGACTAGTCTATTCATTCATTACTCCCTTAAAATCAAACCCTGCCCTGAACACCATTCCTTTCAGCTTCCTAAGGGCTACTTTTTATTTCCTTCAAGTCCCTGCTCAAAAACCTCCTGCTTATAAACTTTCCCAAAGATCTAAGTCAGTGCTGCCCAACAGAAATGAAATAAAAGCCATATATGTAATCTAACGTTTTCTTGTATCCATATTAAAAAAAGAGAACAGGTGAAATTATTATCAGGTTACCTATATTAAACATTACCAATGAGATAGTTCACATTCTTTTTTCACACTAAGTCTTCGATATCCAGGGTGTTTTTTACATTTACAGCACAGGTTGACTTGGACTAGCCACACTGTGAGTGTCCACTAACCACACGTGGTTAGTGGCTGCCAGACTGGACAGTGCAGGGCTAAGTCCTCAGTGATTGCTCCCTTCTCTGAACCCTCACTCTGGCATGGTTTCTAAATTTTGTTTGGCACTTACCACTGTAACTTCCTATTTATCCTGTCCTCCCAACAACATTTTAAGGACTTTTCTATCGTCTTATAGTCCTAGCTCCTCAATACCCATTCCTAGCTCCTCTGGCTAAGGGACCAGCTTTCTCTAATTAGGTATTTCACATTTCAGGATATTTACATAACATACCAAAAAATTCAAGGGACTATCCTACCCTGAATATTCCAATTTATTTGCTTAAGTGCAGTTCCAGCTTCTTCAGTGATAATCAAGGTCAGTACTTAATTTTAAAAAATATTTTGAAATGGTAGAAAGTACCAAAGGAAGCACTTTCCACAAAGGAGTGAACTGTAAATAAAACTTATTAAAAGAAATCCGTAGTGCCCATAATTCAATGTTTTGACTTCAGGAAAGTAAATGAAGTTTTGGTAACCTCTTGCGAAAATTTTATTTAGAGTCATTAAAACTTGCTTGATAAAAAACATCTGAGGGTACCCCTGGTAATAATTTTAAAATCTTAACCTCTTCCAGCAATTTTAATGCCTTACCCATTCCCCAGGTGCAGCCCATTTCGTCCTCCTGACTACTAGCATTTCTCTTCGTTTCAGGGGTATCCATTTCCTCATCTTCATCCGAGTCTTCTCCTAGCATCTTCTTTTCCAACATCACTTGCTGCTTCTTGCGCAATTCCTTCAACTGCGTTACTGTCAACTCGGATTCTGCCTCTTGGTCTTCCTCTGGTCCCTGATGAACCAAGCGAAAGAATTCTTTTAGCGTTCAGGAGGATTGAAGTCGCTTTCAGAAATACTGCAGCGTGTCCTGAAGCTTGGGGATGGGCCAGATTCCTCCGCTTTTTATCAGCGACTAGGAGGGCTTCCCTCCTCAGCGAAAGCTTACGGAGTTCCGGACCCCAGCCCGCGGCGCTCCAGAGATTCCATTCCTAGGTTTCTCTACTTACCTGAAGAAGGAAGAGCCTGGTGCTGCCGCCGAAGCGCAGAACGTGCCCGACGTGGACCCGGCAATAGGTGCGGGGTGGGATGCGGGTTTTGTTGAGAAAGGTGCCGTGGGTGCTTCCCAGGTCATACAGGTAGAAGCCGGGCCCGTGGCCGTCGCATTCGCCGTCGGGCCCAGACGGCCCGTGCTGCAGCACGGCGTGGTACCGAGACACCGAAGGGTGCTCCAGGCACACGTCGCAGCTCGACAGCCTCCCGAAGAGGCAGCAACTGGTCCCTTTCAAGCTACGGGTGCCAAGGATCGTGCCGCCCTTCAGGGTCTCTAAGCTGTAGGGGGCCGTGGCGGGGCCACCCCACGGCGGCTCCCGGTAAGGCGGAGCCCGGGCCGGGCCGCCAGGCGCGGGAGCCGCGGTGAGGGGCCGCGGCCGCGCCTCCCGGGGGCCCCTGGTCTCCGTGCCTTCCGGCCGGGGCGGAGGCACGTCAGGCTCCCCGGAATCCGGGTCCTGCAGGGCTGTGGGCCTCTCCTTCACTTCCTCGGGGTTTGCAGGACTGGCAGCCGGGAACTGGCCCCGCACCGGCGGGGGCACCGGCAGGGCTGGCTTTTTGAAGTCGCCATTGAGTTCTTGCGAAGCCGTTGGCTCGGACAGAGGGGCATTATCGGCCATCCTTAATCTGGTGCGGCCTCGAAATTCGGTCCTGGGAAACCTCACCTTGCGGTCTCTGCGTTCCCCTCCGCATCTGCCTCTCCCCGGCCCCCAGCGGCTCCTTTGGGCTGCGGTGGTGGAGTTGCGTGAAGAGGTGCGTGTGATCGCACGGTCTTGATAAGAGAAAAACCAAAAAAGTGGTCGGGATACTGTCAGAACAGGGACATGTTTAGAGGTTGCACACCGGGTTCTAAGGACTTCCTATGGCAGAGCCTGACTGCAAGAAGCGCTTCCGGCAGCCTCGGCCCACTAATCCACAGCCAGCCTTCCGGCCGCGATGTAATCCTCGCCTCAGGCCCTTCGGAGTGGATCCGTACCCCCAGCCCCGCTCCCGCGACGGCCGTGAATAGTGGCGCCTTCTCGCGTCGGTCCGGGCCCAGACCGCCTCGTCTCCTCGTTGCCTCGGGCGTCAGGCGACTCCAGGACCCTGTGATCTGTGCCTGCGCCTGCTGAAGAGCCCTCGAGGCCCCGGGCATTCCTTGGGCTTGGAGCCTGTTCTTCGTACTCCTTTCGGTGAAGTTAGGGAAGAGGGCAATTTTTTGATCCCTTCGTTCATTCATTAATTCGTTCATTCTTTTATTCTTTCCAGAACCAATTGTTGAGGCAGCATGTGTAGCAGTTAACAGTGCAGACTCTGGGGCCTGTCTCGATTTTTCCCCTTGGCCATTTGTGACAAGTGGGCAAGACAGTGGGTCTCAGCTTCCACATATGAAAAAGAGGATGATATCATTATCTACCTCATTGGGTAGTTGAGAAAGTGGAATTAAACAATTAAGGCAAAGTCTGGCATGTAGTAAGCACTCAGTAAATGCCAGATATTACTGTGAACCAGACACTGTACAAAGATCATGGTTTTGAGAGAGAGATGGGAGAATAAAATCAGTTGAGATAAGTATTAGTTTAAATCCAGGGATAAGTGCCTTGAGAATATGATGGAGGGAGATGTACTGGGAAGGTCACGGAGAGTGGCCTTAAGCTATAGGTAAGAATGAGTACAAGTCCACCAGGGATATGATGGGTGCTGGGGAAATTTCTGGCAGAAAAATTCTTTTAAAGAGTCAACTGTGGAAATGTGTGGCATTCTCAAGAAACTACTGGTATGATGTTGTTAGAACTGAGATGGTCATCTCCTCCAGGAAGCTCCTCTGGACTTCCACTGCACCATGTCTGTGCCTCCAGAACAGCGCTTTCCACACGGTTTCATATTGAAATTTTTTTTTATGGTTCTCTCCTTCACCTCAGGTCAGGAATCTTGCACTGGTCTTTGCCCCCTCCCCTAATGCCCGGCATTTGATAAATGTTTGTTGAATTTCAAGAGACATTATGAGCAATGAATCTGAAAAGGTGGGTTGAAGCCAGATTGTGAATTTTGTTGAGTGGTAGACCAAAGAATTCTGACTGGCTTTTTCCGATAGGCAATGGGAAGCCATTAACCTGAGTTTTTAAAAGAGTAAGCATAGCAGTGCTGGAGAGTAAATTAGACACGAGAAGAGATCGGAGGAAAGCAATACCAGTTAAAAGTCAGTAGAAGTCTCTCAGATTTTTCCTGTATGTATATCAGAAATTGAATGCATTAAGACCATTTAGATTACTGGTTAACACACTTTTCCAACCGGGACCAGTCTAAAGGTTCCCATACGCAACACACAGAATAAGAACCACCTCTTCCTATTTTAACTCTACTCTTTTTCCTCCTGCTGATCCAGGACATACGTGTCAGGATAAGAAATATTTCAGGTCTTAATTAAATGACTGGCTTTGCAGATTGTTCAGGATTGGGAATGATGATAGATCTCAGAGTGAGTTAGTAAAGTAAGAGGGAAAATAGAGTCCCAGACACTACTGCAGCTATTAGTCTCCTAACAACCCAAACTTCACTGTGTGGTTCAGTCCACTAGGAATTGTCATTGGGTATGATTTGATGACCATCATCTAAGACTTGTATTTCTCTCGATTTCTTCAGGGAGAACACCTTTGGTTCTACAGTGTGGCGGGCACTGATGTTTTTCTAAGTGGTCTTGAACGGCCTACTTTTTATGTAAATAACAGCTAGACTTCATATTTTTCACTTCAGAAACCTATAATCTACGGTTGGCAGAGATTTAAAACACTACTTTTAGGATATTCTCTACATTTGACTTGAAAACTCTTCTTGTTCCAAAATGTTGAGATACTGGGGAGAGATACCAATCTCATCAAGCCAGACCAACAGAAGTTCCTTCGATTTGCTGCCCCGGGAGTTCCGTCTGGTGGAAGTCCATGACCCGCCCCTGCACCAACCCTCAGCCAACAAGCCCAAGCCCCCCACCATGTTGGATGTCCCGTCAGAGCCATGCAGCCTCACCATCCATACCATCCAGCTTATCCAGCACAACCGACGCCTGCGCAACCTCATTGCTACAGCTCAGGCCCAGAATCAGCAGCAGACGGAAGGTGTAAAGACTGAAGAGAGTGAACCTCTTCCCTCGTGTCCTGGGTCACCTCCTCTTCCTGATGACCTCTTGCCTTTAGATTGTAAGAATCCCAATGCTCCATTCCAGATTCGGCACAGTGACCCAGAGAGTGACTTTTATCGGTAAGTCAAGTCTTTGCTGTATCTTACTTTTCTCAAAAAATTTTTTCCAACAACCTTCTTAAGCACATAATAACATTTCCATGAGGAAACTGAGAATAAGGGTCATGCACTTGGCCAAAGTTGCTCAGGTAATTAATGGGAAGTCTGAGACTTGAACCCTGATCTTCAAAACCCAAAGTCTGTATTTTTTTATTTTCTGATGCAATATTTATTGAGTTCCACTAGGTACCAAGCACTTTACTAGGAGCAGGATACTACACTGGTATGTAAAACAGGCCCTGGCCTCATAGTCCTCAGAATCTAGTCTGTCTCTCACTTAAAATGTGTATCATGGATTTAGCTCAGTGTCCTCAAGTTGAGATTCATAGACTTATTCTGGTATTATTAGGAACCCGCAAATTCTATACAAGAATTTTTTAATTGCATATTTTCATTTTGATAACATAGTTTAAGGAATAGCAGTATAAAAACATTCTTAATCCTTGCTACTCACAATCTGGTTGACCACTGGCAGCATCAACATCACCTGGGAGCTTGTTAGAAATGCAGTCTCAGGCCCCACCCAGACCCACAGGGTTAGAATCCCCACTGTGACAAATCTCCAGGAGATTCATGTGTGTATTTAAGTTGGAGAAGCCCTGCTCCAGATGCTTTGAATGACTGACATAACCTAGTGTTACTACTAGATTTCAGTTAAGTTTGCATTTGCTGCCAAATAACTACTTTTTTCTTTTCATTTTGAAATTTGTCAGACCTTCAGAAAAGTTTAAATAATAGTACAGTGAACTATTACCCTTAACATGGATTCACCAATAGTTAACATTCTGCCATATTTACTTACTCCCATATGTGTGTGTACACACAAATACGTATACACAAACATTTTTTTGGCAGAACGTTGCAGACATCACATTTCATGTCTAAATTTTTCACCTTATCCTAAGAATAAGGAAATTTTTCTACATAATCCCAATGTTATTATTACACCAAAGTAAATGAACACTAATTAAATTATATCATATAATAAGTCCATATTCAGGTTTCTCCATTTGTCCCCAAAATATCATTTGTAGATAAATTTTCCCCAATCCAGGACCTAACAAAGATTCATATATTGCATTTGGTTTATGCCATTTTAGTGTCTTTTAAGCCAGAATAGCATCCTCCTTTATATTATTATTTTTGTTTATTTATTTATTTGAGTTTATTGGGATGACATTAGTTAAGCTTCCTTCTTTTTAAAAAACATGATATTAATCTTAAGAGTTCAGGTCATTTCCCTTCTAGAATATCCCACTTACTGGATTTGCCAATATCTCAAGATTAGATTCAAGTTAAATATGGCAAAAATTCTGCATAAGTAATATTGTATATCACTTATTGCACTGGCCTATTGATGATAATAGTTAGTACTATTTTAATTGTCCCAAACTAATGAGAAAAGAACGAAATAGACTTAATATGTAAAAGTTGCAGTTGGGCCGATGAAGGCCAGATGTCACAGTGAAGTTGGAATCGTGAATAGGGCAGAAATAATTATGTTTGGCACATATTTTTATAGGTATGTCCAACTTAAAAATACTTGCTCTGTACAATCAGTACCATTTCAAGAGCAATTTAGTTGTAACAAAATAGTATTGTCCATCGTATTAAACTGATGCTGTTATTTAGAATTTTGTACTTCTGTGTTAAATTTCTAACTTTATTGTTAGGAAGAACTATAAACATCAAAGGTTCATACCTAGTTTGTTTTATACATATTTAAAAACTGTGTAACAAAAATAATTTACATCAGTCATGAGGGTGCCAAAAAATCATTTTCCTTTGAAAATAAATAGGTCCATGCCTTGACTGGTGTGGCTCAGTGGATTGAGCACCGGCCTGCGAACTGAAGATACACAGGTCCACATATTATTCAAGTAAAGCAATACTATTTAGCTCTCTGTTTTTTGGCACTTCTGAGGCCTAACACATTTGGCCCAGAAAGAACACCTAGGAAATGATGATGAAATAGTGAATGAAAAATTATTTCGCAATTGGTTTTCTTACATCCCAACTATTATGTGAATTGCAGTAGATGCTATGAGCAGATAAGAGTAGAGTGGGTGGGTCATTCCTCAGCACTAGTTGTACAGCAAGTGCTGGCCCATGCCAAGCATGGAGCAGGGAAGAGTAATTTTCTGTAGCCTATTTTAGTTTTATGTATTTTAACTGTTTACTTCCTTTGTCAAGAGGAAGCAGGAGATAGGAAATTTCAGGAAATAAGTACATTATTAGAAGCTGTTAGAAGTTATTTTTAGGAGATCAGACAGCTTTTTGAAATTTTTTGCTTGGAAAAATGAAGATTTCTGCAATAGTGATTAGATATACAATGATGTGTTATGAAGAACATGGGATCTGGAGTTAGAAGCTCCATGTGGCACTTATTAATAACACCTAAACAACCTTAGGCAAGTCAGCCCCCTGAACCTCAATTTCTTCACCTGCCAAATAGAAATAATAATATGGACCCTACCCATTTCACAGCACAGGAGAGGATTAAAAAGCTTTGGCCCTGGCTGGTGTGGTTCAGTGGATTGAGCGCCGGCCTGTGAACCAAAGCGTTGCTGGTTCGATTCCCAGTATAGGGCACATGCCTGAACTGCAGGCCAGGTCCCCAATAGGGGGTGCGGAAGATAACAACCACACATAGATGTTTCTCTCCCTCTCTTTCTCTCTCCCTTCCTTCTGTAAAAATAAATAAAATATATATTTTTAAAAAGCCTTTGTAAGCTGTGTATGTTCTAAATTGCTTTTGTAAAATTGAGCTGCTTTCCCAGTTTTACAAATGTTCTGTTGCAGTTACGTTACAGTCTCCTAATTGGGACTGTAAATTTTTGAAAGGCCATATGTTGCCCAGCACATGAGGAAACTGTTCTGGTTAAGTAAGTAGAGCACCACTGAGCATATCTGAGCTACACTGTTAAAATTAATCAGATCCTACAAGTGATCAAAATTGAGCAGTTTGTGTAAGAAGGATTCTTCCTTTTCACTAGGTACCCTTTTATACTCTCTCTTACAGGCATGTATTGCCTATTCAAACTTTAATATAATTGAAGGAGCTCAGAGATATGACTGTGGGTTGCTTACACCTGCTCTGACAGCAGCAAAGATGGACCTAGGTTATGTAACCTGCATAGAATTTTCCTGGAAAGCTGGGCCAGTGGTTTGATTCGCATTGTAAAACTTGTAGGGAGACAGGACAGGTCACACTTTAGCAAGAACACTAATAACACTACTACCATGTATTTGTTTTCAGTGGGAAAGGGGAGCCTGTGACCGAACTCAGCTGGCACTCCTGCCGGCAGCTCCTCTACCAGGCAGTGGCCACCATCCTGGCCCATGCAGGCTTTGAGTGTGCAAATGAAAGTGTCCTGGAGACCCTCACTGACGTAGCACACGAGTACTGCCTTAAGTTCACCAAGTTGCTGCGCTTTGCTGTGGATCGGGAGGCCCTGCTGGGGCAGACTCCTTTTCCTGATGTGATGGAGCAAGTGTTCCATGAAGTGGGCATTGGCAGTGTGCTCTCCCTCCAGAAGTTCTGGCAGCACCGCATCAAGGACTATCACAGTTACATGCTACAGGTGAGGCGACCCTGTGAAGGCAAACGTCAAAATGTGTAGCCCCGGGGTGTTCGGCAGGATCTTGCAACTGCTGTAGAATGCAGGGCACAGGATCTTGGAACAGAGTGAACATGCCTACTAGCTAAAGGTCACTAGCTGAGGTTCACTAGCTGAGATTCACTGGCTTCACCACTGACCTGGCCAAACAAATCTGCGAGATGATACTGTCCATGGGTGGGAAGGCGCCGGGGCGGGGGCACCATTTTGGATTGGAACCAGAAACATCTCATCTCTTCAACATGTGTGGCCTTAAGCAAGTCATTTGTTCACTGTTTCAGTTTCCTCAAATCTAAAATATCATAAGGGATTTTTAACACCCAACGAAAAAAGTCTTTGCTAAGTGATCCAGATTTCCTACACGATTCATTATCCACCTAGGGTACATATGCTGTTAGTTTTTATAGCAAAAAAGTGATCTTTTGTCCCATTCCTGATTTAGCTTTGTCTGTTTTTCACCTTTATGTAACTTTTAATTAATGACACACACAGACTCTCAGCAAACAAATTTTCTTTGCATGCCAACTCAACACCTTAAGCAAATTCCTTCCATTCTCAGTGAATGCTTTATTCATATTCATATTCTGTCAGCCTTTCCATGACTATCCAACTTGTTTCTAAGATTTCTTTGAAAAATTGTTCTCTGCTCACCAACAGATTAGTAAGCAACTTTCTGAAGAGTATGAGAGGATTGTCAATCCTGAGAAGGCCACAGAGGACACTAAACCTGTAAAGATCAAGGAGGAACCTGTGAGCGACATCACCTTCCCTGTCAGTGAGGAACTGGAGGCTGACCTTGCTCCTGGAGACCAGTCACTGCCCATGGGAGTCCTGGGGGCTCAGAGTGAGCGCTTCCCATCTAATCTGGAGGTCGAGGCTTCACCACAGGCTTCAAGTAAGAGAAATCAACTTACTTTGATTTGGGATATCCACCAATCTCAGTACTTCTTGCATTACGGCATCACACTCTGAAGACAGAATAACAAAAGTGGGAGTGGGCAGAAAAAGAAAAGTCTAAAAACAAATACAGCTTCACTGATCTAGAGACACCAACATTCTTCTCTTTGTAATTAGAGGACTAGTACAGCTTTATCAGCATTCTTTAAAATGATTCCTAGTTAGGATGTGAATGCAGTATGTGTTGATCTGTTGATTACAAGTTAATTCAGCTGTCCCAGCTAGGTAGGCAGCTGTCCCCTCTTTCCCTTAGTATCTGCATTAGTCCTTCCTGGTGCTTGTACTCAATTGATTAAGACAGCTTCCAGATGGACAGAGGAGTGTTAACTGCTCAAAGATATTTCAACAGTTGGACTTTCTTGCTAGAGTAACGCAACGAATTGGAGCTAAAAGCGATTGAAAAAGGGCTGCACAGAGACAGCTGGCCTTTTCTTCCAGACAGACTGCTACTACCTTACAAACCAGGATGACTTGATCCTTAAGTCAGTCTGATTGCACACTAGTCTAGACACTGATTCTTTACAAATATAAACTGCCATTTCATCAATGCACAAATGATGCAAATAGCAAATCTTCTAGCGTGGCCTAAACAGAATTAGACCATAGTTTTTAAACTTGTCACCATGGAAGAATAACCACAGGACAGTACTGCTGGAACACACAGAGAGGAGGGCCTTGTTGCAGAATTCGGGGCCATGTCTCTTTTTGGCAGTCTAGGAACTCCCAGCATTTTGGAACAATCATTAACTTTTCATTATGAGAGACAAGACTAGGGACCCAAACAAAAGGCAGAAAAACAAGACAGCCCCATTAGAAGGAGGAAGGACAGGCAAACAAGAGCCTGTAGTTGTACCTGCCCTTAGGCGATGAGACAGGGAATCTTTCCACATACATGCAGTTTTACTTTCCTGATTTAGAAAAAAGGGCATGGGTAAGGTTGGGTAAAGGAGGGTAGAAGAAATGGAAAGGAAGATATTCAGAGTCGGTCTAACTTTCTGAAGCAGAGAAATACAACCATATTCTCCAGACAAGTAGAGAGTCGGAACGTAAACTGAGCTCAAAATCCATCAGCCTGCACCAGATAGTATATTCGTTCCTTTGTTCCAGCCTGGGCTTACCAGTAGTTATTTGTTCTTCCATTTTTAGGTACAGAGGTAAATGCTTCCCCCCTTTGGAACCTGGCGCACGTGAAAATGGAGCCTCAAGAGAGCGAAGAAGGCAACGTCTCTGGGCACGGAGTGCTGGGCAGCGATGTCTTCGAGGAGCCCATGTCAGGCATGAGTGAAGCCGGGATCCCCCAGAGCCCTGAAGACTCAGACAGCAGCTACGGTTCCCACTCCACTGATAGCCTCATGGGGTCCTCGCCTGTTTTCAACCAGCGCTGCAAGAAGAGGATGAGGAAGATATAAAAAGAAGAGAGATTTTCTGTCTGAACCAGTAAACCCAACAGAAAACCTCATATATTCAAATATTTCATAGTGATTTGACTCTTAAACGCAGTGGATTTCCCTGATTTCAGTGGAACTGGACTTAACCAAACAAGTTGGCGTTTTACTTCTGCACCTGGTTTTTGTAGTTTTCCACAACCACCACACCACCATTCACAGATGTCGTGATACTGGGATGGTTATCAGACCAAAGCACTGTCTCTGACCGCTGTCCCTGCTATGTGACTAGTCACGTTGCTTAGCTTCTTCAGAACCATTTCTCCTGCACAGCTGAGAAGACTCACACCACTCTGACCTACGTCGCAGGGCTTTTGTGAATACTGAGATGTTATTAAACTTCAAAGCTGTGCTTTAACAGACTCACAAGTAAATGTACATTGGTATCAGATGTCAGTTTTTTCATTTAACTTGCTCCATTTTTGGTTCAGTCATTGGGAATCCAGTACCATTACCTAACAGGAAATAGCAAACTCTGCTTAACTTTTCCATCAGGAGTCTTTTTTTTAAACTTTTGTTGCCCATGGAGTCTCATAAAATCAGGTCTGTGGTAACAGACTTTTTGCTTAGTCAGACATTCCTCTCCTACCTCATCTGCCTATTTTCTTCGTGCTGCTTTAGATTTATTCCATCTATTCTCATCCTGTTTGTCTTTTCTTGGTTCCACTCAGATTTTTAAAATAGTCGTATCTCAGTACACACTGGCTTCAGAATTTGTCAAACCTTGTACTCGTCACATTTTGATGAGAAAAAAGTTTTGGCACTTGCTCTGGACTTTTCACACTTGCTAGAACCTCTATGAGTCACAACACGCCCCTGGCAAAAGGAAACGCTTCATGGTTGGTACTTGTCTTGTCGGTTTTGGCACTTGTCTCAAGTTCTGGAACGAATTAATGACGAGCGCTGACGTAACCCTTTATTTTCTCTGTACTTTTTCAGTTGTTTTTTTCATTCTCTCCTTTGTGAATGAAATAAACGAGACCTGTCCCAGGACAGGCTTGTGCTCATTTCATTTGTTGCATCTGCTTCGCCTTTAGAGGACAGCAGTCCACTCTTTTGCCAAAGGTCTACAACTGCACATTGTGCTTCTACTGGATGGGCCGCCTCTAAAACAGTAATAGGTACCTTTCTATTCTTCACCACATCCTAAACAACTTTACTGTTGTTACCCACCACAGTACTGCCTTGCTTGGCATCTGAGAGTCTCAATCGGTATTAAGTAAATAATGCAGCATTGGGATAAATTAGCAAATGTGTGCTTTATGCCTTGGTAATAGGTTCCACCATGTTAAATAATGATGAAGTTTGTTTTTTGGGTGCAGAATGCAAGTCCTGTGAAATTTAGAGCACTCCTTTAATAAAGACCAAAATCAAGGCACAGCTTAAATTAGTACATTCCTGAGTGCCTTAATGCAAAAGCAGCAGGGAAGGTTATCTAAACTGTTACCAGATCATTTATAAATTTGCTAATTGTACATTCTTAGCACATTATTTAAACACTTTCAGAACTTGAGATGAGTGCCAAAACCAACAAGTACCAACCATGAAGCATTTCCTTTTGCAGGGGCATGTTTCAGGTTTAGCTTAGTTTGCCTTTATGAAAGTGGACATCCATTTCCATAAAATAGCCATCTAATATTTGTTAGGAAATATTTTATTGAGTACCTATTATATGCAACACCCTTTGCAAGGGATACAAAGATGAGTAAGACTTTGTGCCTGCTCTTATGGAGCTGACAGCGTAGGCCATACATTTTTTATTTTTTAATGTATTTTTTCCATTACCATTTATCCTCCCATACCCTCTTCCACCTCCCCCATCCTCCTTCCCCCCACTATCCATACAAGTTACTCTTTAAAGAAAAAGCATTCAAAGGCACTAAGGGAAAAAACCAGGTATGTTCAGAGTTTTGCTATGTAAATGGTTTCCTCTTAAAGAAGAGGTTCAAATTTTTAGACCAGTGGTTCCCATTAGGTATAGAATGTTGGAATTAACTTTGGTAAAATAAAATACTTTTATTTTTAGAATGTTTCAATTGGAGAATAGGTACCAGGTGGTCAAAGTTGGGCACTCTTGACAAAGCAGGTCACAGGAGGACTGATAGCCAAGAGCCGAGGCTCACCAGGCCCGGAACTGTCACAGGCTCAGTTAGAGCGGTGGTTCCGCGTGCTGGGCCCACCCACCCCCACTTCTGGATTCAGGGCTTCAGTGTCCCGTTTCTACCGATTTCCCAGGCGATGCTTATGCTCCTGGTCCAGCAACCACACTTTCAGAACCAGTGGAATACAGACTGCGCAGGGATAAAATTCCTTAAGAGAAATGTACTACACTTTAAGATCCTGTGAAGAATGGAGGCAGGGTAAAACCCTTACCATGATCACTATATATGGAACATCCAACTGAACCAAATCCATGGCCCTTGAGTAAATCAAGGATACTCTGCATTAAGTTTAAAGTACAATATAACCAGGGCCTGACTCTACACCAGGTAGCTCGTGTGTGTATAGGGGAAACCAGTAAACATCACCTCACTGAGACAGGCTTGGACAGGTGGCTTTAAACCTCTGATGAACAGAAGTGATTATATGTTTCTTATTTGAAATTATGTCAGGTGGGCTTACAACAAAGTTAAAATTAAAACTATCCAAGTCACCAACAAAAACAGGATTCTTATTTATTAATTACATGTTCTGCCCACTTTCTTCAACAAACCTGGTGTCCTATAATGAGCTACCAAGCACGAGGCACATCTCATACCAACACTGACTGGCTGCCACTCTGTACAAGCTCATGCTTCCCCGCCCCATTCTACTGAAAGGAGGGGAATGCGTGGGTCAAGGGCCAGGTGCTAGGGAAACCGAGGCCACCGATCCAGCCTAAAAACGGACATCTGAAGTGAACAACAGGTTCTCTCTCTATTCCATCCGTCAGCAGCAGAAGTACTTGAGTTCAAATGAGAAAAGGTGAAGTTTTAGGCTTGAAGGAATACCAGCACCCAAGAACAAAATATCCTTCCTTGCAAACATCCAAGGAAAAGGCCAAGCAGAATTGGCATCTAACTGCCAGGTGCAAGTGTCTTCTAATCCTGGCTTCATCGAAGTCAGGAGATCTCCCTAATAAGAGAAACGCTGCTATTCTGAACAAAATTGTTCTTTATAGTAACCTCAATCAGAGGTAAGGATAGTTCCTGCACAGAGTTCCAAACTTTTCGACTTCTAGAAACTATTTGTTGTTTTTCTTCCAGTACTGTGCCATTGATTCTTGCATAAAATTCTGGAATGCTGGCTCTTCACGGCTTTCCTCTGTAACTGCAAGGAAAATAAGAAGGTCAAAAGGTCAATTATCTTACAACTTCCCATCAGACACATAGATCAGAGCTGCTGTCACCCATCCATCAGACACAGCACTCTCTTCCTAAGAAACTAAGTGTTCACTTTTCCCCGCGAGGAAAAATCTCTCAGAGCATGCTCTATTTACCAAGTTACCCAAAATGTACATTTCCTTTATCTGTGAGGAGAACACCTCCCTCATAAAGTAAAATGAGGTCCCACTCCTATGTATTTTTAACCAACAGAAATGAAAGCATATGCCCAAAGACTTATTCATGAAAGTTAATAGCAGCTTTATTTATAATAGCTAAAATCTGGAAACAACCCAAATGCCAATCAGGTGGTGAAGGCATAAAGAAATTGTGGTACATCCACATAATGGAATATTACTCAACAATTAAAATCCCTACTGATACATGCAACAACAATGGATGGATCACAAAAGCATTACACTGTGTGAAAACAGTCGAATGCAATTTAAATACTGTGATTCCAATTATATGACATTCTGGAAAAGCCAAAATTATAGCAACGGTTATCAATCAGTGATTGGCAGGAACTAGGTATGCGGGAAGAAACTGGAAAGAAACAGGCATGAGGGAACTTTTGGGGTAATGGAGCGCTCTGCAGCTTGATTATGATGGTGGCTACAAGTCTATATATACATGTGTTAAAATTCATCAACCTATGAACTTTTAAATGGTGGGTTTTACTCTGTAAATTATATTTCAATAAATCTGATTAAATGAGGCACTCTACATGTTGGCATAGAGCACACTGGAAAAAGGTTTGCTCTTGGTCATAGCTAGAACCTAAAAGGGTTGTTTCAAGACATAGATTCTGTCCACAGTCCGTAAAGCTATGCTAAATTGTCCCGTCTGTCCTCACGGTGTTACGGTCCTTCTGACTAGTTTAGCTCTGCTGAGGCCTCCTTATGTATTCCTAAAACAATTACAACAAACAAGACCCTAGCTTCCTCAAACGAAGTTAGGACCTAAAGATGGGAAGACAGGCAATAAAAGGCCTGTAATCAGCTCAGTGTTAGTCATTCAGCAGGAAAGCCACCCTTGGGACATGGAACCCTTTCCTGGTGCTGCGTCCTTCACCGTCTCCCCTCTCGCCTACTACTTCTCTCAACAGGAGGCTCCCGACCAAGCGATGTGAGGATAAGCGGCCAGTGTGCTTTCACGAACCCCCCGACCCCCGCCACCGCTCACCTCTATGGTCAATATCATCGGTGTCACTGTCTGCTTCCTCATCCTCTTCCTCCAAGGTTCCCCTCGTCAGAATCAGGTCCGAAGGGTCCCGCACAGTAGGCGAGCTGCCTGCAGAGAAAACACCAGCAGCATGTCATGAACACAGGCCTCCTCAATAAGGTGGTTCTGAATCAGGAAGGAACCGTGTTTTAAATTTGGTGGATGAAAGTGGTCATGACAAAGGCAGGACCCTACTTCTAAGTGCGACGGTTAATACCACTTAACATCTCTATAGTAGCTTAGCTCACAGAGTCCTTCCACTATCCCAATAACTCAAGATGTCTCATTTTAAACTGAGGAAAGTAATTTTCAAGTAGCTAGCCTTTGGTAGGAACATTGTTCGCTTTTAACAGCTCACAGCTTGGAAAAGACTATGGCTTTTCTTACGAAGGCTGAAGCCATTTGAGCAGATCCTAAGAGCTGGCGAGTCAAGGGTAAGTGTGGAGCACTGAGGAAGGTTCCTGGTGGAAACTAGGTTCAAAGAGGGTCTGGAGAGGACACAGCATGAAACGATCTAGCGTAGAGGAGCCAGGGTATTATTCACAAATAAGAGGGAGGGGAAAGGATACAGTAATAGAGGCAAATTCTCTACTCAGGGAGACTGAATAGGGCTGAGCTCCAATAATGAGGAAGAAGTCTCATCAGGTCATCCCTAGGCAGGGGATCAGCCTTTGGGGTTGGGGTCTATGAGAACCTACAACCTCGCAAGTAACCTGAAGCCACGGGAGAACACGACCACTTTCTCCTCAGGGACATAAGAGGTTAAGAGCAGTCAACTGGGGAAGGTGGTGGCAAAGAGCAGCGACATCAAGGGGCACAAACCTCAAGAAGCCTGTGGCCCTGAGAAAGGATGATGACAAGGTGATCTGACAGTCAATGCTTTATTATGTACCCAACTAAGAATTAAACAACTCTACTTGTGATTTTCCTCAAATAATTTACTGAAACTCCCCCAGCCTTTAACAGGCTATCTGAATACAGCAGACCCTTTGCAAAAGTAGAATTAACAGTTGCCACTCAGTGTATTCACGACTGATTCCAAAGACCACAGCACACAGAACTTGACGTGGCTGAGGTGTACAACAAGGGTGGCAGAGGCAAGTTCAGGTAACTGGTCAACACAGCCCACTTCCAGCATCTCCTCCTCCAAGCGGCTTTGCTGTTCTCTACTAGGTGTATAACAATAGCTTCCATGAATGAAATTTCAATCCTTTAAAGGCCAGTCCATCAATAAGTGTGGATGGGTGGGAGTATACACGTTTAACTGTGGGCACCGACCTAGAAATCCTTAGAGAACCAATAACAAAACTCAAATAATATAAAAACTCAGTGAAGTAGCGAACTAAAAATACTAATGTACAAAAAGCAAAAGTCTTCATATACACAAACATAACAAGTTAGAAGATAAAATGGTTCAGAAAAGCCCATTTTCAACACTAACAAAGAAAAAAAATCCTTGGAATAAATTTAACAAGAAATATGCAACTCTATATAAGGAAAACACCCCCCCTTTCTCTTTCCTCTCTTAAGTATAAATATCCTCCTGCTGAGTAGAAGTAATGTACCTCCTTTGAGTCCCTAACACTAAGAGACCTTCCAATACCTGTAGCAGTTCCTGTGTCCAAGGCTATGGAGCCCATATCTTTCCGAAGGCGATCCAGCTGTTCTTTCTGCTGCTGGCTCTGTGCGCTGGCCTGTATATACAGAGAAAAATATCATCAGATTCAAAAAGAAGCCCCTCTAACAGGCCAGACCTCTAACAGGAGACGACCAATTATACAAATGCCAGAGGCTACTGAAACTCTGGGGCAAGCAAGGGGCTGATACGGGGACAAAACACGGAGCAGCATGGGCCCAAGTTAGCAGTTCAGGCTGCAGGGCTCTGGAGACGGAATCAGGAGGTTTAGAAACTGGACACAAGATACATAAAAAGACCCCTCAAGCAGACGTAGGAGGAAGGCTCCGTGACAACAAGCTCAGCGTAGCAGATAGGAGCAGGACACCCCAGCAGGTGGAATAAGAGCTGGGAACCAACCCTCTGTTCCTAATAACATTCTACAGATAGCCTTCAAATAGACCTTGGAAAAGGGGCGGGACAGGGCACAACGAGGGCTTAGTACATATAACAGGAAAAATCTGATTTTTAAAACTTCAGATAAAGACAAGAAAAATAATTAAGGGGCCTTCTTGCATCCAGACAGCACTCACTAAATTTACAAATTTCAATTAATAAGTATCTAAAAGACACCCTAGTGGCCAAAACAAAAGTAGTAATAGCATGAGGTTTGAGGCTGTTTTTTCAGTGGACCTAAAATACCAAGGGCCTCCTCTCTTACCAGTGACTTCTTCAGACGTTCGTATTCAGGACGATACTCCCTGGAAGAGAAACACTTTCTAAATCCCCATGCTTAATGAGCTCTCCTGCACGCCCCACATCACCTCTATTTTCCTAGGACTCTGGCAACAAAAAAAATCTTACTTCACTAATGTCAGGCATAACAAGCGTTGCTGGAATCCTGCCCCTACGGAACTAAAAGCCAAGGCGCCTGTCCTCACCTTGAAACTAGAGAGAAGGAAAACATCTGACTGCTGAGCTGGAAAGACTAACTCTAGAGACCTGGAGAGATGAGCTTACCACTCATTTGGACAAAACATTGGAGATACTTAAGTAAGAGAAGCTTTTTTCAAGTCTGCTGGTTTCAGGAAGCCCAGTATAGAATTGTGGTTTATCAGGGCAACAATGAAGATGCAAAATAGTCTAACCTGAGGTTCTGATCTCTCTCTCTCTCTCTCTCTCTCTCACACACACACACACACACACACACACATAAAACCCTTATCTGATGAATCAAAATTAATATAATGTGCCCAAAAAGCACAATATGGTTGTTAGGATCATGCCGAGTATGAAGCCAAAAGAGCATGCTGGGAAACAGCCATTTAACAGGCTACAGGCCTATGGAAAGCATCCATGTGCGCTGACTCCACTTTCCCTTAGGTAAATGGAATTCCAATACTGATCACGACGACAGTTATGACAACCATTTATTATCAAATGTGTTTACTATGTGCCACCAATTGTGCTGGGTACTCCAGATGTTTTCTCAAATAATCCTCACAATGACCTTAGCAATAAATGCGATAATCTCTGCTCCAGAAATGAGGAAAACTTACTAGGGTGACTCACTTATTAAGTGGAGAAAGCAGAAATACAACTCATACCTGTCTGACTCCAAAGTCTATGCTCTTAATTGGGGGCGGGGCCGGGGTGTCAGCCAATGTGGCAAACAGGCCCAATCAAGCCCACTGACTATTTTTGTAAATAAAGTTTTACTGGAACACAGACATGCTCATTCATTTACAAACTGTCTACGGATGCTTTTGTGTTACAATGACAGCACTGAGCAGCTGCAACAGAGATCATATGGCCCACAAAGCCTAAAATAATTATTATCTGGCTTTTTACAAAAAATCTGGTAACTCCTACTCTTAATCATTCAATATAATGAAGACTTTACACTAATTTGTTTGAAAGTTAATGGAGACTTGTTACCCCTAAGTGTACACAGCCAGTACATATATTCATTTCAAGCATAATGCGTACACTATGAAAACCAAAACGCTTTGGCTGGCAAAACTGCTATCGTTACCAGAATTGCAGGTTACTAAGAACATCTTCAATAGAATTTTCCTTTGCTCTCACCTTTCATATTCTTCCGCAGCGCTGGCGACTTGCACAAAGAGTTCATCCAAGCCTGTACCCAGAACAGCAGACACACCTACCACCTGACAAAAGCAACATTAATGCCACTGGGAAAACAAATGTGTATTTTGCAACAGTGTACATTATTGTGTTCAAATCTCATAAAATCTTCATAAAAGAAGTTATTTCAAGAAGTCTCTGGCAACAAACAAGTACAAGGTCTGTCTAAAAGGTAGCCAGCCATGTTCAATAAAAAATAGAGACATTTACTGAAGAAGATACAAGATACAAGAAATGTTGCACATAGAACAATGACACCTCAGTCCCCTTCAAAGCAGCAGTTGGGACCTCACAGAGTTCTCCCAATCACCATCAACTGCTGTGTTGTATTTTCATGAACCTCACAACGGTCTGAAATCTCTTCCCTTTCAAAGGTGATTTTAGTTTTGGGAAAAGCCAGAACTTGCAGGTCACCAAATCTGGCCTGTAGGGGGGCTGAGTCACCTAAGTGATTTGAAGTTTTGCCAAAAAAGTGTATGAGGTGTGATGCATAAGCAGGTGCACTGTTGTAATGAAACTGCCAATCACCAGCTGCCCATAGCTGCGGCCTTCTGAATCATCTGAATAGTCTCCACAGAGGAATCTTCAAGCTTAACACAAAATTTGATGCAGATTTGTTGCTCTACTCACTCAGCCATTTTGCATGCAATGGCCACACAGTACACACACTCACTCAACAGCATCTACCACCCCCACTGACTAGTACAATGAAGTTGCCATTATTCATGCATGCACATTCCAGTCCACTCTCCTTGGCTGCCAGGTTACATCGATGTTGTGCAAACTGTTCTTGCTATATTAACAATGGCTGTACTTTTTCTGGACAGACCTCATAAAGCTAACCCTGGGTGGCCAAAATGTCCATTTGGTTTTTTACATAAGATGACTCTATTAGCGCTTAGATGTCTTTAACTTCATTCGAAACAATTTTGTTAGATTGCATTGTGACTATCTGTCATGTATCAGCGTGCATTTAAAGAAAAACATCAAAATTGGTGAATTTTGTGTAGCCATTTTAATGCTGAAGATGGAAGATAATATGCAACATTTTTGGCATATTATGCTTTATTATGTCAAGAAAGGTACAAACACAACTGAAATGCAAAAAAAGATTTGTGCAGTAGAGAGGGTGTTGTAACTGATCGAACATGTCAAAAGTAGACTGTGAAGTTTCGTGCTGGAGGTTTCTTGTTGGACAAAGCTCCATGGTTGGGTAGACCAGTTGAAGTGATAGCAATCAAATCGAGGCATTAACTGAGAACAATCAACATTCTACCACATGGGAGATAACCGACATACTAAAAATTTCCAAATCAATAAAGTTATTGGTAAAAATGAAAAATGTGTTTTTCATTTTACAGAAGAAACCATATGGACTTTTTGGCCAACCAAATGCAAAACAAAGCAGCATGCCTACTGAAAAGTCATGGAAATAAGTCTATGGAGAAGAGAGAACTGAACAACAAAGATAATGACAGCCAAATAAGTAGCAGGGCTCTTTATCTAGTCTCTATCAAATCAAACCACCGTCTATTCTCTAAGAAAATCAGTACCCCAGTGCCGTGGCTTGGGCCATTAACATGATCTCTGCCACCCATACCCACTCTTGCTCACACAAATCTCACCCTCCTTCAGAGCACACCTCCAGGGTTAGAGCCTCCAAAGTTTCTCATCTCAAAAGCGATCTGCCCTCTCACCTCCATCATCCCAACTTCCAATCTTTCTTAAGATACCACAATACATCGTTGTTCCAATTCTGTGCGCAGCCTTCTCTTCTAACTAAACCATAAACTGAAAGTAGGGCCTCTAATTTATCTTTTACACCTCCAGTTTTTAATAAGTAAATGCTTTAAAATTTACTTTCCAAAAGGTAATGAACTTCCCTCCTAAGATGGGTTCAAAGCCAGCTGTATGCGTTAAGAGGTTATCAGTACGAGTGGAAGAGAACGTTTACCCTGAGTGAGCTGTAAAATTCATCTAACACCAAGCTCATCGAACGAGTCAGGTTACTGACGTATGTAGTCTCTTGATTCAAGGCCTCTTGGAAAGCTTCAAAATCTTGCATCCATTCCACTGCAAAGCTGTGATCAATGATGTCAGTCTGTTCCAGAGAGAAGCCAACTATGAGCAACCAAAGTTGAGTTTAGACAGCAAACAATGCCCCCCACCCAATATTTTTAATTAAGTGGTGACAGCAAAAAGCAATTATTCATATTTTCTTTCTCTGCTTCCCCCAATTCCTTTCCTACTGTAACATGCCAACAACCAAGACTCTTGTATAGTGTAAATAATGAAATAAAGATATGTGTTCTCCTGGATGAAGCAGGCCCTTTATCCACTGCCACATGACCATGACCACAGGAGATGCCAGCACATTCTGGGCTCTGAAGTCAAGCAAGCAGTCTGCTGTATCCTAGCTATCGCCCAAGAGGGAAGTTTGCGGGTTTCTTTTATGTGTGTTTTAGTTTGCCACTTCTAGTAGACTTCCAGTCCCATCTCTCCTCCCACCCCCCGCAGTCTTGATTCTGAGGGATAATCTACACCCTGTGGTTGAGCGGCTGCTCTACCTAGGCTAAAATAACTGGATGAGAGTCATCACAAATATTCAATCTGGTTGCATTTTCTTCCTAGAAGTGCCTATGACGGTTTCAGTTTGGCTTAATCTCCTCTCCAGCATCTGAAATAATCCTTCCCACCTATTCAAATCTCCCAATAACACAAAGTTCTGATGAAAAAGAAATATAGTACTGAATCACAACAGTAAGGATCTACTTACTTTATTCATAACCACAATGAAAGGAAGCTTGGTTTTGTACAAGATGCTGAAAATCAAACATCAAGGCATTATTAGTAAAAACACTTCAGCTCTTGTTTACCCAGCCTGTTGGAACTGAGTAAAAAGAAGGGGAATGAGTTCAGACATAAGGTACCCATTCTTGCGAGGCACAGATTCTCCTCTCCCAAGAGGAAAACCACAACCACCATCAAACAAGCACCCCACACACATTCTCATTCTCTCTCTCTCTCTCTCTCTCTCTCTGAGTAATAATGCTTTGCTACTGATCCTGTTTCCTGTGTGTGTGTCGTTTTTTGTTTGGTTGTTTATTTTTCCAAATAATTGTCTTTTCATAATTAGTATAAAAATGGACTAGGATTTCTTGCATCTAATAAGACATTCCCAATCATATTAGAAGGGACAAATGTTGGTGATGGCTGTTGTGTACTCCCAAAATCAAACTCTCTCAGCTATAACAATGGCACGCCTCGCTCCCAGGCCTAATGCACTGACATATCCTAGTGAAGCGTGTTCTTCCTCTCCTAATGACACCGTACTCGGGGCAAACCAGTGTATTTTAGAATTATGGGTAACTCTCTTATTCATGATTTCTCCTCGTGTTTTAATTTCACTCTTCCTATCATAACACAGAAAGAAAGCTCTATTCTATTTAGACTTGGGTTTCACCAAACTGGGAGTAACTACGAGAGGATTCATATTCATACGCAACCTCTGTGTACAGCAAGGGAGGAAGATGAGAAGCTGCTGACAGAGAATGCCAACAGCACACGTGCCTCTCTTCTCTTCTGACCCTGCTCCAACTCACGACCACTAAACTGAGTGGCAAATCTGACTGTGCACAAACCTAGGGGTAAGCACTCAGGACTTAAAAGAAGAGGAGGCCTCATACCTTGATGTAATTATCATGCCCATCGATAATCAATTACCTGCAGGCATAGAGCATATTGGACATGAAGGTCACTGGGTTGGTACTTCTCGATGTGTCCATTACATAAATGACAATCGTTGGAAAGGAGGATGCCTAAAGCCACAAAATAATCAAAGCCTTAGCCAGAGGGCTCATGACCTGTCCCCAAACTTTTCCTACCTTCTTTAGCAAGGGAGAATCACTTGAGGCAGGGTTGCGAGAGCTTCTCTAACTCCCTCCCACATAAGGTCCCAGGCAATGAAAAGATGTTTGCCCAGCCTAGCTCTCAGTAACAAGTCCTACGGTACTCACCAGGGCCTCAGTGATGATTGTCCCAGAAGCGGACCAGGTGAACACTTCAATCTGCCCAGGTGTGTCAATCAAGACATATCTGTCACAAGAAAGACCATTAAAGAAGTATTATATTTGGCCAATGCTGAAAATATTCCACCCCACAAAACACCAATCATCTGGTTATACAAGATCTGAACAAATAACCTCTTCACGTTGCCAGGTCTACTTTCCTCCCATTGCCTTTAAAATGCATACCACATCCCCCCAGGCTCTGCTCAATGTCTAACATTCAGGCTAATGCGTAAGAACAGCAGTCCATAAATTGCTACAAATGATCACAGGGGACACCGCAATAGTTATAGAAACATACCATATTAAAAATGAGATCTAAGCATTAGCTCTGGCCAGTTAGCTCAGTTGATTAGAGCATCATCTCGATACACCAAGGTTGTGAGTTTGATCCCCCATCAGAGCACACACAAGAATCAACCAATGAATGCAAAAATAAGTGGAACAACGTATCAATCTCTCCCTCGTCTTTTCTAAAATCAATAAAAAAAAAAAATTAAAAATAAAAATAAATTTACAATCTAAAAAAAAAAAAAAGACGTTCTTTAAAAAATGAGATAAGCAAAACCAGAAAGTAAATCTCTTGGGAAACCATCTGGTTGCTTAGGGGTGAGGCTGGGAAAGGTGGAAGAGAGGGAGGAACAGAGGGGCAGGGGACTGACAGCTAAAACATACAGGGTTTCTTCTTAAGGTGGTGAAAATGATCTAAAATTGATTATGGTGGTGGCTGCACTATAAGAAATGTCACTGAGTTGTACACTTTTAAGTGGGTGAGTTGCATGATATGTGAGTTATATCTCAATAAAGCTGTTTTTAAAAATGAGCAAAAAATTTGAATGGACATTTCTCCAAATATATACCAATGGCCAATGGGTACATGCAATGATGCTCAACATCATTAATCACTGAGGGAATACAAATCAAAACAACAATACAATTCCACCTCACACCCACAAAGCAGGCTATAATCAGAAACAAAGGTGTATCAAGCACTGACATGGATAAAGAGAAATTGGAACCCTCATGCACTGCTGGTGAGAACGTAAAATGGTGCGGCCACCAGGAGCTGGCGAAAGGAAGAACAGAACGACTGCCAATGTGTATGGGGTTTCTTTTGGAATAGTAAAAATGTTCTGAAATTAAACAGTAGGGATCAATACACAATTTTATGAGTATACTAAAAACCACTAAATTGTATGAATTAAAGAAGTGTCCTCTGTGGTATCTGAATTTATATCTCAAGAAAGATATTTTTTAAAACTACCTCCAGTGTGATCCTATTTTTGTAAAATACCTTATCCATTTATCCTTCTGTGTACATACACATAGAAACATGTGGAATGATAGTCACTGACAGTAATAATAATGACAGTTATTTCTAGTGGGAATCTAGTGGGTGATCATTTCACCTTTTGAATACTACGTATTGTTTGAATTCTTTATAATGAGCATATATTCTCTTTTACAAAAATAATGAGTTATCTTTTTTAAAAAAGTGAACTTATTGCCTTGACTGACGTGCCTGAGTGAGTTGGGTATCCTCTTGCAAAGTGAAATGTCAGAGTGAAAATCCCTGGTCAGGACACAAGCCTGGGTTGCACATTCAGTCTCCAGTCCAGGTGCGTATGAGAGCAACTGATCTACGTTTCTCTCCCTCTCTTTCCCCTCCCTCCCCCTCTCTCTAAAAATAAATAAAATCTTTATTTTTTTTAAGCAAATCTTTTAAAAACCTATTAAGAGTTAACCATGGGTAATAATTTTATTTCATATTTTGATACTTTTAAAACTAAAAAACAATTATATTCTCTCTGATTTATGTAAATTATATTTATTTAAATAAGAGTTAGAAAGGTGTTTCAGAGACCTTAATGCCAGCAAGTATGGTTTCCCAAGAGAAAGCAGATAGACAACTGAACTTGGACAAAGTTTCAAAGTATCTCCTAAGAGGCCATGGGCACACACCAAAGTGACTGGGGGTGGAATACTATTTAAAAAAAAAAGATTTAATTTTTAGAGAGGGGGGAAGGGAGAATGAGAGGGAAACATCAATGTGTGATTGCCTCTCACATGCCCCCTACTGGGGATCTGGCCCACAACCCAGGGATCTGAGTGGGACTCGAACCAGCGACCCTTTGGTTCACAGACAGGCACTCAAACCACTGAGCCACACCAGGCAGGGTGGAGTGGAACACTATTAAAGTTCGTTCTAGAATGATTTTCTTGCCTACCCTTTTTCACTTATAACAGGTTCATCTCAATCTATACCTTTTCAAAACTTGATGCTATCCCAAAATCTTCCAAAAGAGCCTAGAAATGCGTTAACTACAGTGTACTAAACTGAAATCACTTACTTAGACATGTTCTGGGCTTTCTCAATAAATTTCATTACCTGAAAGAAAAAGATGCCAATTACAACAGGATCCAATTTCAGCATAAAACCACAGGGCCCTTTCCAGGTGGCCTGCCTCCAAGGTACCATCAACTATTGCTTCTCTGTGTTCTCAGTCTTAGGACACCAACTAATAACTCACTGGACCAAAGAAACAGAGCCACATCAGCGGCACTGCAACAACCTGGAGCGCAGTGCAAGGGTCAGAGAAGCCGAAGACATGATCTGTCACTGTCAACTCACTTCTCCTGATACTTCAGCAAAATGTTAATATAGCCTGCCTCACAGAATGACATCGGGGTAAAAACAAACACACAAACAACAACAACAAAAACAAACAAATAACAAAGCACTCTTAAAACACTCTTACAGAAGAAGATGACAGAGAAAACCTGTCAAAATGATGACAACTATCTGCCACAAGGTAAAAGCCCCATTATTTTCCCTTCCATGCCTGCTGGTCCACCTCACCCTTCATCCCCTTACTCCATCCTCAGAGTAACACTCCAACCCAAAAAGGGGCCCATGTCTCCTGGATTTGTTTTTTTTTGTTGTCAGAAATATGAAACATGAAGTGTTATGAACCTGATCATCCTCTCATAGCCTACTTCTGTCTACCAAAAAGCCTACTTATTTTCTGTATTTATACCCAGGTTTATTGCTCTTCTTTCCCAATGTTATCAAGCTGAGACATTAATAATCACAGGTTTTTACACACGTTATATAAGTGAAAACCAACAGACATACCTGATCAAATCTGGTAGCAAAGAGATTGAGGGAGGTCACTATGCCACCATTGGGCCCAAGTCCATATCTGGACACCAAGTTGAGGATTTAAATTGCTTACAGATGAATTCAGATGATAAAGTTCACACGTAGGATATCATTCACACAAACAACACTGTAGCATTAGTGGTCCACTATTGGGTATTGGCAAGCTAATCCTTGACTATGTATCATACAGCCTTAACTTCACAGGGAATGTTCACATCGAGGTCATCTTCATTTTTTATTGTTTTAGGGATGGCCAGGAAAAATGAAGAAACTAAAGGGACCAAAACATAATAGATGCATCAGACAGTGACAGCCTTTGGCATTAGCTGTGAAGACTACACAGCTCTTGTGCTCTGAACCTCATTAATCAGGCAACCTGCTGATTATAATTGGTCTTCCTACCTAGACTTACCTACAGGGAAAGTATATATTTCACACCACAATGTATGAAGAGTAGATCCTATCCAATCTACTCATTTCTGGGTTTCCCAATCAGAAGAGGTGGTGACCAATGGATGTAGCCTCCAAGGCAACACTATTTTCTGGGACCCAGGCACGCTACCAGCTGGACTCTCATTATCTATGCTCTCTAATTACAACAGTCTGTAGTCTGGAAAGACGGTAAGAAAACTGAAATCCTAAATTCAAAGAATATTTCCAGTCACCCGTAACACCTCTTCCCACACTCATCTTTCATCTTCGTAGTAAAATGACTTAAAAGCTATCAAATGCTTTTGCTAGTATATTTCACAAGGAAATGCAAAAATATTCTTTCAAAGCCACCAAGTGAACACCAAATAGGATGTGAAAAAGGATACTGTTTCATGACTTCTTTATACTTCACGGTGTCACGAATATCTGGGGGAAGGAGGGAAGAATTAATTAGAATTTAACACATAAGAAACAATATAACTTGAGGCTCTCCACCAATAATTCCTAAGCCAATAGGTTTCTCAAGTCATCTCTGCTTCCTCAGAGAGAGAAAAAAAATTAGCTTCTCTCTTGGCATGAGTTACTTTTCAAATTTGTTTTCTAAAATTTTAATACCACTTAACTGTGGTAGAAAAATAAGACTGTGAAGAAAACAGAAAGGCAAAAGGTGCTTTGTACTTTTCCTACCACAAAAACACTGAAACTAGCCTTTTAGGATTCTCTTGTCAGCATTCTCTTCTACTAATTTCTCCAGCTTTACATTGGTCTCTGTCCTTACAAAGGATAACTGTCAAGTAACCCATGAAGGATGTTAGGGTAGGAGCTCTCAAATTATGATAGAGATGGTCTGAGCTAAGAAGGAAAGTTTTATGCAACTTAAATACCTTGTCAGTTACCATATGCATAGAAAAAGGGAGCTAAATAAAGAAAAAAAGATTTAGTTCTTACTAACTGAATGTACGCAGAAAAGATTTTTAGAAAGGACTTAATATGTTCAGTAATATCTAACTAACCCTATTGACCAGTCTGTAAACCCACCCCATCAACTATTAGAATTCCATCATTCAAGTGAGAAGATAGGTGATTTTTTTCCCCCAAACTCTTCCCAAAATGATCTCTGCTTAATGCAAGGCCTTCCTTTATTAGTTTATTTGCGTTGCAAGCATCTTAATAGGATTAAGAAAAGATGAGAGGTTTAGCACACAGTGACAGTCTAGATTAGGAAACCTAGATTCTACCAAGAATTATGACACTGGATCACATCCATTCCTATCTTTTATAGTCTCAGATTCCTTTTATGATAACTGGGAACCTCTCCCCAAAACAATGCACATATGCATACATATGCACATTTTTCCAAGTAACTTTAGGAGTGGAAGCAAGGTTCCTATAAATCATTAAGTGAACTACCATACAAGAACCCTTATACTCCAACTAAACTTTGAGAAAAGAAACTAAATAAAAAGTTATCTATATCAGAGTCTGTTGAAGGGTTTATGACCTAGAGTGAGAAGACTGGCTTTCTGTCACTTCACTTTCCCAAATAACAATAGCCTGACAACCTAGGGTCAGAAAGGAGAAATAAAACTGAGTGGTAAAGAAAAGGAAAGAGAAAGAATAAACAAAAAGAACATATGAATAAGGCAGAAGCCTGTTTAGGGATTCTAGCAAATCCAAGAGAAATGAAAGTAGACAGTTTAGAAAGAATGACAGCATTGAAAACTGGCAGGCTGGAGGTTTTCCATCCTAAGGCACTTTACACAAAATGATACAGTTTACTCACCGATATTGGCAGGAAAAGGAACTTCATGCACAGCTGGGTCCAGATTGATCACATAAGGTGGAGAGCCTTTGCTATGTAGGTGTCCTGTGACCCTCTGCAGAGATATGGGGCACAGGATGGAGTGAGACAAAGAGGGCATGACAAGGGGACAAAGGACATTTCTCTCTATCTGAAATATTCACCTCCAACATTCAACTCTCAGTTGAAAGGCAACCTTTCTTTATTACCCACCAAACAGAGCCTCCCCTACTCTCCATGTCTTACTTGCTTTGTGTGGGGTTTTTTCTATCACCTCAAATAAAACAGTAGTTCAGAAAGCAGGAAACATGTCAATCTAATTTTCACTGTATTCCCAGTGCCCGCTGGAGTCAAACTGATGACAGCTACCAGGCAGCAAGACTTCAAATGCTCCAGAGAATGACATGTTTGAAGTTTCTTTTATGCATTTGGAATTTAAGAGATAAAGTAAGGAAGATTATGTAAAGTGGGAAAAAGAAAGGTGGGGACTGGATTACAGGATAGTTAATAGGATTATGTGTTCTCTTAAAAAAAAGAAGCGTTTCAAATGTGTGTTAACCTAGATGCATAAAAACAACAAACAGGGCTTGCTTAGAGAAAATATAAACCTCCTACTGAAGAAGTTATATGCCTGGGCGTGACTACCCACCAAGACCTGCCCAATTAAAAATTTGTGATCCATACGATTTTACTCACACGTGGACTCTAATGAACAAAATAAACAAAATAGAAACATATTCAGAGAAGAGACTAACAGATGTCAGAGGAGAGGAGGGTTGTGGCGCTGGGTAAAAAAGGTGAAGGGATTAAGCAAAAAACCAAAAACAAACAAACAAAAAAACCCCTGAGACACAAACAGTAGGGTGATTACCAGATGGAAAGGGTGCGGATAAAGGTGGAAGAGGGTAAAGGGGGATAAATGGTGATGGAGACTTGCCTTCGGGTGGTGAACAGGCTATGCAATATACAGACGGCGTATTATAGAACTGCACATTTGAAACCTATATAACTTTAATAACCAATGTCACCCCAATAAATTCAATTAAAAAAATGTATGACCCCATCACCCTGTGAGGTTACTTTCAGTTAGACTCATTACAGCACCCCTTTTTTGTCCATACTTTAGGTGTACAAGAAACACGTAATTCTTTAGCAATCTACATTAAAGCCTGTGTTGTAGCACCAGTTACTAGTATGCCTCTGCCTTCAAAAAGTCGGCAATTCTATCGGTAGGACAATTCCAGCACAAGGTGGTAAGCGATAGCAAATATGCACTCAGGGTGCGCAAAAGGGAGGCCTAATCACCCCATGCTAGAGTCCAAGAAGGTTTAGCCGAGTAAGGGGCCGGAGTTGCTAGCAGGTCCCCTAAAGCCACGCGCCGGCCACCTCCAACTCCTCAGAAAGATCTCCCTCCGCTTCTCCCTGGCCTTCCACAACCTCTCCCGCACATCTACTACGCCCGCGCCACGTACATCACCTGTACAAAGGTGGTTTTCCCAGATCCTGCCATTCCCAACACCAAGAGACACACTGGAGACCGAAGACCTCCAGAAGCCTGGGGCGCAGATACATCTGCGGGCGCCGCCATCTTCCCCCTGGTTCCGCCCACTCTACCATAGAGAGGTCACGTGGCTAGAGAGGCCTCCGCGACGCTGGGGGCTGTGAAAGAGAACGGAACTGCCTCCAACCTGTTGAGAAAGAAAAATGCGAGGAATGTCCGGGCTCTTCGTACCCCGCCCAGCTCGGGAGCCTATTGGGTACTCTGCCGGGGAAGTGGAGGGGCTGGGAGGCTGGAGAGGAACAGGAAAAGAGGAGCTCACCATAGCAATGCTGGGCCAGGGAAGGGTGGAGGTGTGTTACACAGGAGAACTAGATGGGACGCGATCCCTAGGGCAGGGCTCGCAGGATACGGAAACAGTGCAGCCCTTAGAATCAGAGCTTTTGAGTAAATTGAGAAGGGAAGACAAAGGGGACGTATGTTACGTCAGCTTTTACTTTTGAAAATGTTTTCTGTGAAATACTTCAAGAATTAATGAGGTGGCTGAATGCCTCCGCTTGTTTTAGGGAAATGTACCAAAAGGAAGTTTTTAAATATTTGATGACTTTTTAGTGTCTTCTGCCATCTTTCCCTAGCAACGCGCTCAAGATGATATGGTTATTTAATGCTATAGTAAATATTTTAGTTTTAGGCCACGTATTACATTTTCTTACTATGATATGCTTGTAATAGTAACGAAATGCTTTTGGTTATTAATACATGACATATTAATGCTTATTTAATAAAACTGGGAATAGTATTTTAAGTTAGTATAGCCTTTTAGGGTAGTTTCTCTTTTTTTTACACTTTATTGACATATTGATGGTTTAGATCAGTGATTTATTTGCTCAATCCTAATACACGAATATATATAACCCCATATTTTAACATTGCTCCTGTATGGGAAAATATAATCAACTTTATGTTTTCCAGAAATTGCCAGTAATGAAGAACTTAAAAATAATAATCATGAATTTAGTTTTATTTATATGTACAATTAAGCCTTTGGATTAAAAGGACTCTCCTTCATGTACCTTTAGCTTGAACAATTTTTCTGTTAAATATGTAGTTTATTAAACAAGTTTTTGTTAAAAAATAAAAATCTTCTTGGATTATAATTTATCCACTGACTTTATTATTGTTACAATGTGTTTTTCTCTATTCTGCATTTCTTACTCATACTAGTTATGCAAATACAACTGTAGTTTTAATGCAGAAAATAGAACTTTAGATCACATGCTGTTGCCTTAACCTGAATACTTCAAGTCACAGGCTGAAAATACAGAAACACATTATTTGAAAAGCATAGTATCCAAGACAAATTTGGAAGCCCTATTCTCTCTGGACGCAAAAACTCTAGGAAAATATATACCAAAGGCTGATAAAATCTTAGAAACTTACTCTTCCTCTATTAATTCCCCTACTGCCATTGCTGATCCAATTATCTAATTCAGGAATGGGTAACTTCCATCTCATCTCAGTTCAGTTTCAATTTCTGTCATCCCAGATAATGGATCTGTGTACTGATTATGGCTATTCCTTTCAGAGTGAGGCCTCTGAGAGCCTGAAGACTAAGAGATGAATCATCCGATAAAGGGACTTTGTCCCTGCAAGTGAGCAGCGGGTTGGCCAACTAAGATCTCAATCTACTTTGTCTGCTTTTAGCAGGTGAATGAGGTCTGATTTATAATTTTAAAAACTCATTACAAACTGTCATGTGGAGTGTATCCAAGCCAGTAAAAAGCAGAAGGAAACCAATCAGGAAGCTACTGTAGTCTAGGCCAGAGGTGAGATGGTTCCAACTGGGATGGTAGAAGTAGAAGTGCAGACATGGGGGAGAGTAAACTGTATGGTGAGGGGAAGATCAAAGGTTAAGATGAAGCAGAAGAAAAATTTCCAAAGTACTCCCTTTAAAGAAAGAGTTAAGCAGAATATATTGTTAACTGATTTTTTAAATATTTTAAAGATACAAAAAATATAAAACTATTAACAAATTCACTATACACTCTAAGAAGTAAGAACTTCTAAATTCATTTACAGTCCCAAGGTCCCAGAAGCACCATACTAAATTTGGTGTTTATGATTCCTGTGCATGTTTTCTTACAATGTTTATATTAAAATATAAACAAATATTTGTATATACTATATACTTATATATGCATCCATTGGTATAGAGCATTTTTGCATGTTTTTAAACCTTATACAAATGGTGCACGTGAATATATTCTATAATAACGTGCTTTCCCCAGACATTGAGATGTATTCATAATGAAAAAGGAGCCCTAGTTATTTTCACAGATGTATAGTTTCCCACTGTTCGACTGCGTCACAATTTATGCTTTCTCCTGATGATGGGCTACTAGGTTATATAAATTAGAGTGAGCTAACAAAGAGACCCAAAAATGTATGTCTCAAATAACAGACATTTATTTCTTGCTCATATATTCGTCTAATAGATGTCCTGGGTTGACAAGTAGTCCTTCACGGGGTGATTCAGAGAGCTGCTATCCTCCGTTTCGTGCGGACATCCACAGAGCCCCATCATCAGCTGCACCTGAGGAAGGGGGAAGCATCGAAGTACGCTCACATACCTCAAAGTTCTAGCCTGGAAGTGACACGATCACTTCCACTCACATTCCACTGGAGAGAAGTTGGCTACCCCTTCCCCACTGGGGAAGGGGAGTAAAGGGCTGGGAACAGTAGCCATTTGTTCTACGATCCTGTAATTTTGCAAGCTCAGAGCAGATTTTGGTGGATAATTGGTAGTCTCTATGATGTGGTGTTTCCAGCATCGACTATGAGCTATACTGCAATACTCATTATTGTTTACGTCTTCTCATACGCCTGGGCAAGAGGAATTTCCCTGTACATACCTGGGAGTGAAACTGCTGAGTCTTAGGGCCTGTCTTCAACTTTACTAGATACTGCCTAATCATTCCCAAAGTGATTATACAAATTCACATTCCAAATCATGCATCAGAGTTCATTGCTTCAAAACCTAACTGTATCTGATATTGTTAAACTTAAGTTTATGTTATTCTAATGAATTTAATAAAACTTAAAACCTCAAATAGCATGACCAGGGTAGTCTGTACTGAGTCCTGCTGCTGTCAGCCTCGAGAAGAAAAGAATAAAAGGAATGCCGATAGGGCTCTGTATGAGATTGGGCAAGTCTCCTATATCTGCTCACTTTACTCTCAAATTATCCATCTTAGCCAGCAGATTGTGGGGGCTAAACAACGACTGAGACAACTACATTTGGCACTTATTTCAAACTCATTACCATCTCTAGCCATCTTCTTACCCTCATATTCTGTATCAGCAAGGTGTCAAGTAGCAAGGTCAGAAGCAATGAAGAACTGGAAACATCAATCTGAGAGTCATTTATTTCTTTTGTCATTACCAAACATTTCCCAAGTCTTACTCACCAGAAATTAACATAGCTTCTTCATTTCTCCTCCCTGACAATCCTCATCTACTGAAAGGGCTCTAAATGCACAACTGCCAATGAAAATGTAGAGTGGATATACCATGTCCTTCACTTGTTTCAAAACAATTATCTAACAGCCCATTAGACATTATCAGGTAGGCATGAGGTACAGAAAAAGAATTTTTCTTTCCAACTCCAGGTAAATATCTACATCTGGTGTCAAAGTCTCAGGATTAAAGACGACAGGACACATATAAAAGAGGATAGAGAGCAATATTCTCAGAAAATTCAGACAGAGGTTGACTAAAGGGAGGGATGAGGACTCAGCAGGGTACAGACTCACAAGTGAGGTCAAGTCCAGGAGAGATGGAATGTGTGCCCTGGCTACCAATCTTAGTGGCATTACCGGGAACACGAATCCTGCATCAAAAAAAGCAGGGGTAATCAATCTGGTGTTTCTCAACTCTTAAAACTGAGGGGGCAAAACAAGCTTCAGGAGGGTGCTGATTTTAACAACAGATGAGGCCCCAAGGCCAAGGAACGTTGAGGCAGTAATTATTGCTTCTTCTACTTTCTCCTTTCCAGCCACTTTAATGTTCGGGGACACACTGCTCCCAAGGCAGCTTTTCATGCCTGTGGGTCTAGTCTGTCACTGCTACTTGGGACAAACATAGCATTTCCCAGTACAATTAGTATAGAGAAGATCTATCTTTTTTCATCCTAACCTCATTTTTTCTTTTAATCCTAAAACCATACTGTGAGAGAAAAAACACCCTCCATAAAGGTTGTTTCCCAAAGAGACAGGGTAACCTTATACATGAGTGACAACATTTCTAGCTTCTAGGTTTGTAATACCACAAATACAAAATGATTAATCAGTATCGTTTTAAGAAATTAATTTGGAATTGTTTCATAAACTTGGTGATGAGGACTACTAAACCAATAGAGCTTCCAAGAACATTCCACATCCCAAGAAGGAAAGGACAACCAGTTTTCTCGTTTTGAACAGGGCAACCAGGGCCTGGAGTTGGCCTTAGGAGGGAGCTCTGTGGGCAAGACAAGAAAAAAACAATGGACTCCAAAGAGGAATAGCAGGAAAACCTACCAAAAAGGGTTGGGGGAGAGGGATTGTCAACGTGAATAAGAAGGGAAAACAGTGAAATTTACACAGGAGGAAAGAGTAGAAAGTCAGAGCCTTACACGAACAGCTGAAAGAGCACACTTCTCTTCGTTCAGCCCATGGCTCAGTCCTCCCAGCCCAGGTCCCTGTGACTCTAGCATCCACTCTCCTAGGAGCGCGTTCACCCTGCCTGCCTATTTCCTTCCTCGTTTATGATTAGTCTTTGGGGGCTTTACTTTCTGGCACTGTGCTGGCACTGGCTCCTGCTCTGGGTCTTTACAGGAGGTCGACACTAGCAGTTCCTCGTTGCTCCTCCTCTGATCTTTCCCTCCTTTAGGACTGGGCTCTGCCTCCTCCGGAAGCTCGAGGCCGGCCTGCTGCCGCCTTCTTAGGGACCTTCTGCTCCTGTGCTGCTGCCTCCGCTTTTCTTCCTCTTGCTGCCGCTGCTTTATCTTCATCAGCTTTTCAAAGCTTTTGGTGGTGGTTGGGTTGACAACAAACCAGTCCTACAGAGGCAAAGTAGAAATACTATCCAGTCAAAACACAGTGGAAAGTACAAAGAAGGGGCGTGCGGAGAATTTAAAAAGGCATGATTAGGGCAGAACGCAGACTTTATTTTTTAACTTTGAAAATTTATAAACCTTCAGAAAAGTTACCATAGTTTAATGAACACATAGATTTACCATTATTCATCTCTCTCCTTCCCTTTTCCTTCCTTCCTTCCTTCCTTCCTTTTGCTGAGCCATCTGCACATTAATTGCAGACATCATGCTACTTCATCCCTAAATACTTCAGCATGCCCCTGCCTAAGAACAAAGGTTTTCTCCTGCTTACCTACAATGATCACATTTTGAAATATTAACATGGACACACTGTTGTTATTTGCTAGTTATTATTCAAATTTCCCCAACTGTCTCAATGTCCCTTATACTTGTTTCTATGCAGTATTTTAAATAGCATTGAAAACAGGTAGCTCAAAAACATTATATATTAAAAAACAGAAGTATAGAGATTGCTGTGAAATAAGAATTCCAAAGGGGTAAATTCAGCCTGGTTCACACATGCCTGATCTAATTGGGTTTAACGCCAATGTCTCTGGTAACCGCTTTACTTTCCTTGACAGTCCTAACCCATAAAAACAGACACAAAGCCCCACCTCTCCTGTGGTGTGCGTATGGGGTCCACAGAATTACCAAAACTCTGTGGGGAAGCAGGATCCTCACCTCAGCATGGACAGAGTTGATGTGATACTTGACGCCACTCTCTGATACAAATTCTTTTTGGCATAGAAGACACTTGTATTTTCCAGCCACAAAGTTTCCCTATTTTAAAGAAAAGAGAATTATTGATAAATTCAGGCACACACACCTGGGCCATGTGTAGGGATTGTTACTGATGAAAAGAAGGGATTCTATCTCATCAAAGGTGAGAAGAAAATCCAAAACAGCAATATATGCAGAAAAAACAGCTGGGGCAGACTATCATCACTATAAATCTGTCCTAATGCAATTCTATACCAAACCCTTCCCCCTTCAACACGACCCAAAATCCTACTTTTATTATGTGACATGTCACATTTTTCTACCTTCCCTTGTTTCTATCACGTCACTGGTTCCTCCCCTAAAATTATCAAACACCTGAAGTTCACAAGAAGCACCAATGTACCGTTCTTCCCACTATAATCCATTGCTGCAAAGAGCACCTTGGAAATCCAAAATTAGAAGAGTACCACCCATAATACAAAGTTTAAGGACTCAAACTAAGAGCAAGATGACAAACTCCTAAGCATTCCTGGACAGGTCTAATTTGGATGCCTACAACCCTCTTGTTGCCTTGAAATGAAACTCGTCTCCCCTCCTGAAGCTTCGGGTTTCCATGGTGCTCATTTTGGGTGAGGAGAGACTTCTGAAAGGGATTGGAAAGTGGCAGCAATGCCCATGGCTGGTGGGTTGTAGGGCACGTGGGTCAACATGGAAAAAATTCAGTGAGCTGAATGGCTGTTCTCCCCGACACCCAGGGACCCCTCCTCCCATCCCCAGAGGCCAGCTTAGCTCAGATGGGCTTGTTCAGAGGATCTTCACCAATCCAGATAAGTGCATGTAAGTTGGTTCTACAAAGTTTAAGGCCCAGAAAACAAAGCAGGTCCAGGGTAGGAGAAGCTCAGGTAGAAGTTACATCACTGGTAGGGATTCAGAACTAACACATTTTTCTCCAAAATCTTAACTTGACATGACTTAAGGCTATGTTGGCCTTTTCTGCATCTTGGACATACCCTGACATCCCACCCAGTAACAGACCAAGATTCTTTGGGACATCAAAAACTAAACCAGCCTCTGAAGATAACAGAAAATAGGACGACTAGCTGTTCACCTAAACTGAAGTCTCTTCTATGTCAGACTATTTTAAAAGTCATATTAAGATAATAGTTCAGAAAGGTACAAACCAAAGTACAAGAGCCCAGGTGAGCTTTAAGGCCAGATACACTACTGTAGACAGCCTCACAACCCTGAAAAATAAGAAGAAAAAAATAACATGAAGACTATACAGAAGAGCAGCCTTCTCTCAACAATTGGGTCATTGACATTGACCAACCCTACATTTGAGAAGTCCAATAAGTTATAACACAAACAACCGTGGCTGGTGTGGCTCAGTGGATTGAGCGCTGGCCTGTGAACCAAAAGGTCACCAGTTCAATTCCCAGTCAGGACACACATGACTGGATTGCAGGCCACGTCCCCAGCTGGGAGCATTTGAGAGGCAACCAATCAACGTATCTCTCACACATTGGTGTTTCTCTCCCTCTCTCCCTTCCCTTCTCTCTAAAAAAAAAAGTAAATAAAATCTTAAAAAAAACTATATCACAAACCAAACAAAAGAATTCACATGCAAGCCATAAAAGCAATAAGAAAAACCAAAGAAAGGTAAAAGAAAAAGAGGTAAACAAGTTTTTTCAAAATCTTAACATATTCCCTTTCCTAGCACTTTTTTTTATACTTAGAGAAACACAGCAAAGTACATGGTTAGAGTTGTTAAAAATTTGCTTTCTTTAGTACAAATATGTCTTCTATTTCTTGTATATCTATTCCTCCCCAAAGTACTGCATATACAGCTAGGTTAGATTAAAGATGGCTAGAGCCCTGGCCAGGTAGATCGGTTGGTTAGTGCAGCGTCCAGATATGTCAGGGGTGCAGGTTTGATCTGCAGTCAGGGCACATACAGGGAACCACCGATGAATGCAAATATAAATGTAACAACAAATAGATGTTTCTTTCCCTCCTTCTCTCTCCCTTCTTCTCTCTCTCTCTCTAAAAATATATATCTCTCTAAAAATATATATATTAAAAAAAAGATGGCTGGAAATTCTCTGCCACTCTTTCCATCAAGAAGAGTCTATTGAACCTCTGCTTAAATCTGGGTTGGTCCTGTGATTCCTTTAAACAATAGAATGCCACGGAAAGATGCTGAACAAATTCTGAAACTAGGCCTTAAGAGTTCTTCGGCTTCCACTTTCATGTTCTTGGAATACGCTCCGAAATGTCAGTCACCGTTTCTCTGCTGGTAATCCAATGGCCCTGCTAGAGGAAGAGGCCACATAGAAAGCCAAGCTTCCAGCTGAATTAGTGCATCTTGGACATTCCAGCTGAACGCAGCCAGCTGGTGCACTGTATAGCCTAACAAATTTACAGAATTGTGAATAAAATAATTGCTGTTTTAAAAGCTACTAAGTTCCGGGTGCTTTGTGACAAAGGAATAAATAACTGAAACAGCGGTAGATGCTTGACAAACATTTACTGAATAAGTGAATAAGAAAGAACCACCTGGTTAGGACACTGAATGCGATGATACTTCTTGATGTCTGACTTCCATTTATGCAGTACTTCCTGGCTGAAGGTCGGCAGCCCAGGGCGAGTATATTTTAACTACAAGACAAGAAAGATTTTATTGGAAGAATCCAGCTTCCAAAATACCCCAAACGTTTCACACCCAACTCTTCAGGTTATATAATTCTGAAGTTCCACAAGGATATTTTCACATACAAAAAACTGTAATATGTAAGACCCTTTTAAGTTCCTGAAACTGGTAGTTATAATTGTCTATTGTTTAGTCTTAGAATAGTTTGATTTTTTAACAGAAGGCAGGAGACTTTCAGGAATAATACTTCATCTACAGTTGAAAAAAAAAGCTAGTAACAGAGCACTATACAGTTAAAATATTTGTTACAAAAAAGGGGACTACAACAAAAAGTTCACTAAAAATAGAATATGTATGTATATATATTATGCAAACTACATATATATACATATATATTCAATAGAAATACATGTAGATGGGTAAGTGGCTAGAAGGCTATAAATACTAATGGGACTTTTCTCTGGGGGGTAGAATTTTGAGTGGGTTTACTGTGTTTTTACTCTGCTTATCTCCATGTCTCAATTTTCTTCAACAATATGTTAATTTTTGCTATTTTAGAAATTTTAACAAAAAAAATTAAGGTTCAACTTAAAACAAGGATGTGAGAGAACTGAGAAGAGAACACATAGTCTTTGTTTATACTGCAAAAGTAGAATTATTCCTAGCACTCCCTTTCACATGCTTTGACATAAGTTAGTCTCTTCTTACAACTGTAACTATGACCTCCAGAAAAGAGATAGCACTGTACTGTTTTTACAAAGCCCACCATGGGTAATAGTTGTATTTCTGGTGAGTAAATAATCCTCCTGTTTGAGAAATGGCAGTATCTGAAAAGAAGCTGATCCTCTGAGACAGAAAAACAGAACCAAAGCCCACAAAGGTAATGGCAGAAGTGAGGAAGGTAGACTAAAGAAACTCTGGTAAAGTTAAAAAAGAAATCAGAGCACAGAGCTGGCTTTACTTATAAGCATTTCCTCTCCTCTGCAGCTAGTATGTGTGGGTCCATTTAAAATCTTTTTGTGCTGATAGGGGAATATTTATATAAACTATTCATACCATAAACTATCATACTTATGAAGCTATAAAAAAAAAGTGAGGATAACCTTAGTGAACACATGCAGAGTGATTCCCAGGATATATTTTTAAGTGAAATAAAACAAAAATTTTTTAAAATATCTAGAGTAAGAAGGGAATGTAGGAAAATATTCATGTATCTGATCATCCATCCCATCAAAATACAGGAAGCATAAACCAAAAACTACCGTGTCTGGTTACCTTTGGGGACAGTGGGGTCCAAACGGGTGGCAATACAAGGGCACTTAGAGCAGGACAGTTGGGAAGGTGGGCAGCGGCGCTTCTCTGAGAAGACCTGCCTGCACAGGCCTGGCTTTTGGAACTACGGTAATGTTTCACATAACACAAAATGAACAAACAGTTTAAATTAAATAGGATACAGGGGAAACCCAAAATTAATGAGTGACATGTAAACCCAATTATTACAAGTGAGAAAAGGGAATGATGGGGATGGGTGACAAAAACTAACCTAAGTAACTAGAAAACAGTACTTTGTGTGCTGTGAGGCTAAAGATGAAAGTAACTATACATAAATATTTTGTTCTTCAGTTAGTAAATTTGTTTTTTAAAGACATATGGATTAACAGTTCTGAAACTATATTATTTGTACTAGGATTGAGCAAAGTAAATATATTGTAGACAACAAAAGTCAGGTTTCTCACTGCTGGAGAAAGGACTTAAAAATAAAGAAAGGAGGAGGTGAAAATGAAACTTGTATGTTGGACTGGGATTAATGGTATCATGGCTTTAAACATATAGATGGGGTGGACAAAAGCAGGTTTACAGTTGTAACACAAATAACAAAATAATTAATAAGTAATACAAGAATATACTCTGTTTTGCATACCCACAACTATAAACCTACCTTTGCCCACCCTGCACAGATAAACATAAAAATAAATACAAAATGTGTGTGTATGTATCCATGAATACACATACATACGTATCCTAGCTCTACCCGCCAAGAGGGCCCAGAAGCATGACATCCCAACCAAAATGAATACATCTAGCACTCAAATCTTGGTTTCTAAGTATATTTTCCAATAAAAGGAACCAAAATTCCTTAAAGATAATTGGTTCCAAGGGTAGGCCAGGGAAAACACAAGATGAGCCTACAGAATTTCACAGTGCCAGAGTAAAAAAGAGTTTAAAAAAAGTGACAGGGGATGTCAAAAAGATACAGGGGTTCACTTGAAAGAGCACTTGAGCTCTGGCTGGTGTGGCTCAGTGGACTGCAAACCTGAAGGTCACTGATTCAATTCCTGGTCAGGGCACATGCCTGGGGTGTGGGCCAGGTTCCCAGATGGGGGCGTATGAGAGGCAACCAGTTGATATTGATGTGTCTCTCCCTCTTTCTCCCATCTCTCTAAAAATAAATAAATAAAATCTTAAACAAAAGAAAAAAGAGGAAGGAAGGAAGGAAGGCAGGAAGGAAGGAAGGAAGGCAGGAAAGAAGGGCTCTTGATGCCCAAATCTGGGACAATTTGAGTAGCGAACACATTGGATCATAGGCGATAGGATAAAATAAATATCCATGAATCCATTCTAAAGAAAAGAATAGATCTTTCTCACAACAGAATTCCAATTAATAATTGTAGAAGAAATGATAGAAACAAAAAATTATCATTAAGCAAAAACTGCAGTAATAAATGCTGCAGGCATGAATCACTAATGGATGCTAAAGTAAGTGGGTAGAAGTATGATAAAACACAGGTTAGTTATGTAGTCTCAACCTTCTCACAAAATACTCGCTAACTGCAAAGGGTAAAATTGTAATTTTGCCATGGAAAAATACTGGACAACACACCCTAATCAAGTATTTGGCATCTAAGCTAAATATAAACTACTACATATAAACTAACAAAGTGGAAACATACTAGGCGAAGACTAAACAAAAATCTAATTTGGGACTTCAGGTGCTCTCTGGAAGTGGTCCAAAATTAAGAGGCTCCTTAAAGGAGCTTCTGAAACAGACTTTCTAAGACCGACATGAATTTAAATCCTGGAGCTGGATCAGATGTACTCCAACTCCAAGGATAAGCAAGCAAAATATTGTTTATCATGTACTCACTCTGTTTATCATGTACTCACTCAAGTGTATTTATTTTTCTGTATGTAATAAGCACAGTATTAGACATAATCCCTCAAAATTAATACAAGTTTCTACCTTACCTTCCGATCATCAGGCACCAGATCCTGGAGAACCTTTCTCTTGGGCCACTCCTTGGCCAGCTCAGCGGAGGCCAGCTCCTGCAGATGGTACACGGCTATCTTGGCGGAACGCCTCTGAACTCGGCCCCCACTCTTTGACTCCAGGTTCATCTCTTTTAAGCACTCTGGCTGTCCTGACTCTGGAAAGAAGGAGATCTGAAAAACGAAACACAGCCAAATGCAAGCCTGAGAAGTGCCTTCCATCAAAGCCTGTGATTAAGGTGTCCTTCATGCTCTAAATATCAAAAGAGCTATTAGCCTGCTAATAATCACTATCATAAAGCTCCACCATCTTAACGTACATTTTACTGGTAAGATTATTAGCAGGATAAAATCTATCCTGTTGTAGTAAGTGTTTTGAAGTCAGTACACATCCATATGCAAAGAAATGAATCTTAACCCACACCCCATGCTACAAACAAAAAGAATCTCAAAATGGATAATAGCCCTAAATGTGAGCAATAAAACTTCTAAAAGAAACCAAGGGAGAAAATTTTTGTTATCCTGGGTATACGAATAATTTTTTAATTTATTTTCCAGTTACAATTAACATACTGTACAACATCATGTTAGCGGTGTGATGGTTTTTTGATGTGTCAACTTGGCTAGGCTACAGTCATCGATTATTCAAACACTAATCTAGGTGCTGATGCAAAGATATTCTGTAGATCTAATTAAAGTCCATAATCAGTTGACTTTAAGGAAGAGAGATATGACAGAAGAAGGGACAGCAGAGATTCAAAGAATGAGACAGATTCAATACTGCTGACTTGAAGACAAAGTGGACTGTGAGCCAGGGAATGGAGGTGGCCTTTAGAGGCTGAGAACAACTCCTGGCCTATACAGCAAGCAAGGAATTGCATGGAACTGAATTTCTGAACAATCTTTTTTTTAAGATTTTATTTATGTATTTTTAGAGAGGGGGGAAGAGAGGGAGAGAAATAACAATGTGCGAGAGATATATCAATCAGTTGTTTCTCACAGCCCTCTACTGGGGACCTGGCCCACAACCCAGGCATGTGCCCTGACTGGGAAACAAACATGCAATCTTTCATTTTGCAGGCCAGCACTCAGTCCACTGAGCCGCACCAGCCAGGGCTGAATTCTTGAACAATTTTAAGGAGCCTAGAAGCAGATTCTCCCCTCAAACCTCCAGAAAGGAATGGCTCTAGTGAAATTTTGGTTCCAGCCTGGTGAGGCTCTATGCAGGGAGCCAGCTGAACCATTCTTACCTGGACTTCTGGCCTAATGAACTATGAGATAATAAAATTGTGGTGTTTAAGCCAATAGTTTTGTGATTTTCTTTTTTTACAGCAACAATAGGAAATTATACAATGGGTTGGGCAAAAATATCTTAGATACAATAAGAGCATTAAATAAAAGAAAAAATATATAAAGTGAACTTTATCAAAATTAAGAAATCTGCTCTTCGAAAAACACTATAAAAATGAAAAGACAGGGTATAGACTGGAAGGAAATATTTACAAAACATATCTGATAAAGGACTTGTGTCCAGAATACATAAAAAAAAAAAACAACAAAAAACTGAATATATTCAAAGCTTAAGAGTAAGACAACAAAAATTCCATAGTAAAATGAACAAATGATTTAATAGACACTTCACAAATGAAGACACTTCAGTAAAGACTGGCACTGATAATAAGCACAAAAAAGATGGTTAATATCACTAATCATGAGGGAAATGCACATTTAAACCACAGTAGCAGCCCTGTCTGGGTAGCTCAGTTGGTTAGGGAGAGCATCATCCTGATACGCCAAGGTTGCAGGTTTGATCTCTGGTCAGGGCTCATACAAGAAACCACCACTGAATGCATGAATAAGTGGAATACCAAATTGATAGTTCTCTCTTTCTCCCTCTCTCTCTCTCTCTCTCTCTCAAATCAATAAATTTTAAAAAAAAAAATTTTAATTTAAACCACAGTAAAATACCACTACATACCTAGCAGAATGAATTAAATGAAACTGACAATAGCAAATGCTGAGAAGAATGCAAAACGACTGGAATTCTCATCTTTTGCTGGTGAGAAGACAAAATGGCATAGCCACTTGGAAAACAGTTTGACAGTTTCTTATAAAGTTAAACAAGTTTATCATATGACCTAGCAATCCCACTCCTAAGTATTTACCCAAGAGAAATTAAAATTTATTTTCATATAAAAACTTTTAAGTGAATTGTATCATCTTCATTCATAATTGCCCCAAAATGGAAATGACCAAATGTTCTTCAATAGGTAAATGGATAAATTGTGAGACATTCATGTAAGGGAATCTTAGAGAGAAATTAAATGGTATAAACTAATGATACATGCCAACACATGAATGCATTATGCTAAGTGAAAGAAGCCAGACTCAAAAGTTTACATACTGTATGATTCCATTTATATGACATTCTAAAAAAGGCAAAACTAGCCCTGGCCAGGTGGCTCCGTTGGTTGGAGCAGCATCCTGTATACCAAAAGGTTGCAGGTTCAATCCCTGGTCAGGACACATACTTAGGCTGTAGGTTCCACCTCCAGTTGGAGGCGTGTACAGGAGGCAAGCAATCAATGTTTCTCTCTTTCTCTCTCTCTCTCCCCAACCCCTTCTCTCCTCTCCCTCCCTTCCTTTCTCTCTAAAATCTATAAACATATCCTCAGGTGGTGAACAAATAAATGGCAAAACTGTAAAGAGAGACAGATAGATAGATACATAGGCAGACAGACAGACAAATGGCAAAACTATAAACACAGAAAATAAATCAGTGGTTGCTAGGGGTCGGGAATAGTGAGAAGAGCTGACAACAAAGGGATCCAAAGGAATTTGAGGAGGGTTCTCAAATTGTTCAATATATTGTTTATGGTGATGGTTGCATTACAGTGTACAATTGTCAAAAGTTTTATAACTCTACACCAGAAAGGGTGAATATTAGTTACCACATATAAGTTATATCTAGAAACTTTAAAATAAATGAGGTGGGGAGAGTACAGAAATGTAATCAGGAAAAAAGTCATGACAAAAAAATTGAAATTCAAAAGGCAGAAATAAGAGGATAAAGGAAGAGCAAGTAAGAGAACAAAAGCATTCAAAGATTAAATGGCGATACAAATGAGGAACCAACAACGCATGGCAAGGTGCAGGGGTAAGCAGTTATCACAGGTGCATCCCAACAGGGTCTGGAAAGTAATCAGTACTCACAGGCCCATGCTCTGACCTCAGGTGATACGCCAGCCCAGCCTTCGATCTATATGGCTTTTCACAGTGGTGACACTTCAGGGTCATCTTCTCCAGCTCTGCAGCCCCTTTGCCACATTTTCTGACATGATAGAGATATCCCATGATGCTGGTGAAGCTACTGGAGCAACTCTGAACACAGGAGAGAGACCTAAACTATAATCTTAGATCTTTTGACGTGATCTCTACATTTCTAAACAGCCACAAGGCATTCCACACAAACAGACCCTCTGATATCACTAGACCCTCTCCAACACTTCCCATTGCACAACCCCTTCTGTCCTCGGCCCAGTGGCTTTCCTGTCTACCACCAAGCATCATGTTCAATGTTCAGTCAACATTCAATGAAATGGAGCTCTGCACCTCTTCTGTGTCAGAGCGTCCTCCTTAGTCTGTGATCCAATTCCACCCCAAAATCAAATGCCCAGCAATATCAAAGCTCCTCACAATGAGGTTACTTGGATACTTTTCATCACACCAAAGAAAGGCTGGTAAGGAAACCCCTTCAAACAAAGGATAAGGGGAGAAAAAAACTGGGGGACAAGAAAGAAAATAAAGACCTATTAATGAGTTCAGGAGACCTGGAAAAGCAGGAGCCACTCTTATGTTGGAAGATGATACAGAACCAGGTCTCCAAGGGAGGGGGAGGACAAACGGAAGAGAACAGAAAGACAGGGATCTAAGACTCCAGACAGATGGAGTTGCTGTCCTTGGTCTCTCACCTCACGCATGCACCTGAGCTTTCCCAGTCTCTTTAGAACTGTTCGGAGCCGTTCCCTCTCGCTTGGCTCATCTATTTCATCTCCGGTCTTCAAAATGGGCTAGAAAAAAAGAGAAGCAGATAATTCATGGAAAAGACAGATACAGAAAAAAACATTATAGAAGAATCAACGACTAGCAAGCACCTAAGCTCATGCCCATGAAGCCTAAGTTATCTGACTCCTGGCCTTTCCCATCTCCTAGACAGACAAGGAAGTAAAGATAATGGAAATTAGAGCTCTAAGTCTTTTCCTCCCAGGATATGAACCTTTGGGACTGACCTAAACACACAAACACCTATGCATCCACTGCAAGGGTTTCGTTGTACAAAAGTCTTCTATTAGAAGGGTTTTCTTACTTACACCCCTGTGAAGTCCCAAAGCCTTAGCCGTCTCCACTGAGTTACCTGTACTCATCTAAGGGAGCCGAACACCCCATAGGCTCACAGAGGACAGACGACACTCTTACCAAACTATTATGATTTGCCATGACGTGATACTTCATCCCTGCCAGTGAACGAAGTTGTTTCCCACAATGATGGCAAGTAAACATTTCCTACAGTGAAAAAACACTGCTCAGTGCCAGACTATTGGACACAGAAATGGAAGATCACAAAGTCCTATTCATATGCTCGTTTCTGGATAGCCTTTATTTCCCAAACTCAATAGGCAATGAATCTGAAAATCCCACAAGCTCAGTTTCACATCCTCAAGGGCAAAGAAGTAAAGGCAATTCATTTTTTAAAAAGTAGAAACGACCATTTACTGAGTGCCAATATTTGTCATTCAGCATGTATTATTTCTTATCCTGTTATGGACTACCTAAAGTAGTAATTATTTTACCTCTATTTTATAAATGAGGAAACCGAGGCTCACATACAAATAGCTAAATGAAACAACTAGTGAGTGACCGAGCAGAGATTCAAACCCAAGGCTGTCGCATTCCAAAGCCTATGTTTTCCCTATGACACAACAATGTCGCCTCTTCGCCATAGTAATGAGCATACCCAACACAGTGCCAGAACATGTCTAACCTGTTTGCAGTTTTCCATGTGTCTCTTTAAGCCCTCTATGGTCTTCCTCCCCACTGCCTGACAGGTAGGACAGGAGACACTGCCTTTATCCACAATTTCTAAGTACCATTGCTCCTCTAAACTGCCTACAAAGAAGAGAAAAGAACATGACATAACCTGTAGTATTCTCCAGAAACAAAAAGCACAATTCCAGAACTTAGGAAAAGTATCATAAAATGGTTTTTCGCCTCTGGGGGTAAGAGATTCCTGCTGTGTATAACTTCTAGAAATAATTTTTTTCACACAGTGAGGCGTTTCTACAACTTCTACTCAATTCCCCATGATAAAAACCACCTGAGAAACATGCAGATCCCAGTGACTTAAGGAACTAGGCAACATTTTTTCCCCCAGCTTGACTGAGGTATAGCTGACAATGGGCAACATTTTTCACAGCAGCGTATGATAATGGAATGCTGATATGTAACAGCCAGTTTGCTGAGTGTTTCCTGTGCGGCTGAGACTTTGTTAAATGTTTTTTATCCCATTTAATCTTCACAATTCTGACTGCCTTTATTATCCCAAGTTAGAGACAGGGAAACTGAAGCTTGCAGAAATTAAATAAACTGAGGCAGGTGAGAAAATTAATGAAGACCCAAAACTTGATCAAGGGTCTATGTGACCTCTGACCCAATGCTGTTAATAACTGTCTCTTTAGAGAAATGCTTTTGTACAGCATTCCTTTACCAGCAACAACAACAGAAATCAGAATAAGAGAACTAGATCCCACAAAGCTTCCAACAGAAAGCGTACCTGCTGCATAGGCTGGTGGCTCCTTCCGAACACGACGAGCCTGGGATTTGGGAGCAGGCTGAGTTTTAGGCCGTTGCTTCCTCCCTGACACAAGACAAAAACTTGAAGCCCAACATTTTGCCTTTGCTAAGCCCTCTCTAGTACCAAAATATCTTCCCTCCTCTTCTCATCACCCTATGTCCCGGCCCCTTAACCAGCTGACTCTCTTAAATCACGATAGAAGGAAAGAGTAAAATGAGGCAGAATGGAGGCCATGCCTTGCCAAAAAAATCCAAAGGGTTCAAAAGTGCTTCAAGGGCCAAACCCTAAGATCTCTCTCCCTCAAATAATAAGGCCCAGGCACCCGGGGAGAAAAGAGTTAGCAAAGTTCCTCCCTTACCATAAAGCTTATGCTTCTTCTGAGGAAATTCTCGATAATCTTCATCTTCTTCCTGCCTGGGTTTCCTTTTTCCTTTGGTTGATACTCCACCTGATCCTGAAATACCAGACAAAAACAGGAAAAAACCTAAGTATGGTATATAAATACACATCCGGGACTGCCTCCAAAACACCCCTCACAAGACCATCAAAGGGAAAGATCATCAGCAAGCAGAGGCCCCACAGAGGTGTTTGTGACATTGTTAGGGAACTTGGTATAACTTTTCATTTTCTGGCTCAACCTCCACTTTTCCCTTTGCAGTGGTCTCCACCACAAGAGGTCCGCAGTTGCCCGTGAAGAAGAAAAGAGTGCGCTTTGTTTCACTTTGGCTTGAGGCTAACACTGAAGCAGAATTGTTCAAAACAGAGGCTCCTAAGGACCTTTGAGACTATGACCACCAGGGAAATTTTACCCAAAATAATCCTTACACCAGCCGCTAAACCCTCAACAGAGGACCAAATCAGAACAAGAGGAATCAAATCATGAAGAGGAAAGGCTGATAGAACCTAAAGGAGTAAGATCAGCAGAATTTCACTCTAAAATAGAGGGACCATTCACAAGGCTACCAGTATGCGATAGCCTAACAGCTTAAAAAGATTAATCACTAATGAGAAACACATCTGTGGTACTTAATACTTAAAGAGCCACTTGCAACAGCTACCTTAAAATGTAACTTTAGAGAGTACTCTGTCTTTCGAATAAAATATTGAGAACGATACCTTCAACATGGGGAGTAGTAGCTGGCTTGATCCTTCTCATCTTCATCCAGGAGGTAGATTTTCGAAAGGATGCTGGAAAATCACTTACTGGTTCACATGAAGAGGCAGATGATGAGCCGCTTAAGGAATCATCGTGAGGAATAGTGTACTGGAAACTGTTATCCTTTATGGAGCACTTGGTCCTGCTATTAATATGACACAAAGATATGTGACACAAAGATAAATGCCACAAAGGAAGGTGTGAAATAAAGTTCCTATTAATTACTTTATATCATAAGAAGATAACCAATTTGCTTACCTTTGCAAAAACAAAGAAGTTTGATAATAAAAACAGAATTTAGATTTTAATTTTCAAACAATTACAATGGTTGATTTAATACAACACATACTACTAACATTAGACTTCATTATAATCAGAAAGAGTAAGCTGTTCACATAATGAATACTCTACAACCCAAGTAGGCATTCCTTCCTAGGTTCATCCAAGAAAAGGAAGTAGTCTAAGTGATAGGGTGTCCTGTGGCCAGTTGATCGCCTAGATCTATAACTATGGATGTCCAGATCTCCCCATTTCTCTGACAGAGGGACAGTAACTAAGAAATATCCCTGAGAATAAAGAAGGAAAACAACAGTTTGTAGGCCCTAGTCTGATCCATGTTCCTTCTCCCTTAGCCTTTTCCCTAAACCCTGATGTCAGAGCCTCCCTGTCTTACTTAGGCAACATGATACTTAGCTCCCATAGCTAAAGGAAGGGTGCTATCTTGTCTAAATTAAGCTGGCCGGAGAAATCTGGTATACAGTTGTTATACAAATTCCCAAACCCAAGACTAATCAGTATGTCATTAATAAACATTACTGAGTAACTACAAAACATCTTCTAGGTGGCTCAGGATGTGGTAGAGCAACAGTTGCCAAAGTGAGAGGCCACTTTAGATTTATGGTTTAGAAAGGTCACTCTGGAGGCTGAATGGAAGATGATACACGGAGGAAAAGTAAATGAAGTGTTTGCAGCTTGTTGCAACTGTTTGGATAGGAGATGATGAGGTCTAGACCTAAGATTTTGTAGAAAAGATAACCAGATAGACTCAAGATAACACCTTAGAGGTAAAATTGATAAAAATTACACAAAGAAGTTTTAGGAGAAGAGAGTTGGAAGAAATTCAGGTGACTACTCTTAGGAAACTACGTAAGTAAAATGTGACAGACGCCTACTACGGAATACTAGGTAGTTGTTAGAAGCAATAAACCATTTCTACACAGAGACAGGAACATAACTAAAAAGCATACTATTGACTGAAAAGAGAAACAGAACAAGATCTATAGTACAATGTCAATTCAGTAAATTAAAAACAAATACACATGTAAATAGCACTAGCTATTTTATAAGAATTCATAAATATAAGGATAGGCAAAAGTAGGTTTACAGTTTTATGGAAAATAATAATTAATAAATCATACAAGAATAAACTCTGTGTTTCATCCACTCACAACTGTATTACTTTTGCCCACCCCTGTATTGAAGGGTAAATATCAAACTTGTTAACAATGGCTCTCTGTGGGAGGAAGGGCATAGAAATGGGGATGAGAAAAAAATAACAGGGACTGTATGTTATGCATATGTCACTATGCTATGAGAAGGGAAGAATGATAGCTCTCTGCACATGAGGGCCAACATGACAAATTCAATACAACAACCCCCTGGTTCTGGCATGGTGGCATAAGCCCACCGCCTCTGTTGATGACAGCCAAAACCTCTGAACTCTGAGAAGTAAACAAAATCAGGTAGATTGCGAAGAAGAGTCAAAACTGGGAGAAGTACCCTGGCTGGTGTGGCTCAGTGGATTGAATGCCAGCCTGTGAACTGACAGGTCACTGGTTCAGTTGCTGGTCAAGCCACATGACTAAGGTGCAGGCCAGGCCCCCTGGTTGGGGGTGTGTGAGAGGCAACCAACTAATGTATCTCTTGCACATGGATAATTCTCTCCCTCTGTTTCTCCTTCCCTTCTCTAAAATAAATAAATAAATAAATAAGATCTTAAAAAATAAAAAACCTAGCAGTGACCCACATAGGGTTGTGTTTCCCAGTTTTCCCCCCTTTATATGTGGCTTTGCAACAAGGGTGGACCCCACCTGCAGAGCAGCATGGGGAGCCTAAATTCCAATAGAATCTACACCTTTCTGGCCAGAGAACCCAGGAAGAGCAATCCCTATAGACTAGAGAGTAGAGGGGAATAGTGAAGAAGAGATAGGCAAAGAAGAGATCCTATAATTTTGTGTCTGAATCCACACAAGTCACAGCTTAGCCTGAGTTACGTATGCATGGAGCAAACCCAAACCAGCTTTAGCAAAAAGGCTTTGAAAAGTGAAATAAGATTTGAACAAATGCACAAGTATCAGACTAACCCCTGAGCTACTAGTGTGTGACAGACCCAATCCAATGTAGCAAAAGCTTTGAGAGTAAAACAGGATTTGAAACACCAGATAAAAAATCTCAGACTAACCCATGAGCTACTTGTGTATCAGGCCTAAACCATCATGGCAAAGACTCAAACTGATATAGAACCAGTGCCCTCAGAAGGCAAAACAGAATTTACTGTCTGAGCTTAAACAGGTTACCTGTTAAAATAAAAACATTAACACTTCCCAGAAGATTCTTAAAGACCAGGGTTTACATATATAACAATCAAAATCTTGAGAATAAATTCCAAAATTATGCAATACACAAAGAACCAAGAAAATGGGAGCAATTCTCAGAGAAACAGATGATTAAGAAATGTTACCTCCAAGATAATCTAGATATTGGAGTTGACATAGACTTCACAAGCAGCTATTATAACTATGCTCCATGAAATAAAGGAAAACACATTTGAAGTAAAGAGAAAGGCAGGCATTTTCAGCAAAAATTAGAAACTATAAAAAAGACCAAATGAAAACTCACTGGATGGGCTCACTAATAGAATGGAGATGCCAGAAGAAAGAGTCTGTGAACTTGATGATAGATCAAGAGAAATGATCTAATATGAATGACTAAAAAAGACTGAAAAACAGTCAAATGAGCCCCAAAATCTGTGGGACAATATCTAAAGGTCTAACTTAAGGGTAGCTGTAATCCCAGAAAGAGAAGAAAAAGAGACCAAGGCAGAAAAATACATTGAAAAAAATGATGATGGGAAATCCCCCAAACTTAATGAGTTTAGATTCAAGGAGCTCAAAAAGCACTCAAAAGGATAAACTCAAAGAAAAAACTAGAGCTTTCAGTGGTTGAACACCTGGAGATCTGGGGAGGGTGGAGCACTGAGAGAGCATGACTTTCCCACACACCTTGCCTTATGCATCTCTTCTACCTGGCTATTCCTGAGTTACAATCTTTTATAAAAAAACTGGTAATCTAGTACATACAAAGAAAAATAAACAAAAACACACTTAGACACATCTTAATAAAACTGTTCAAAACCAAAGATTAAAAGAAAATCTAGAAAGCAGCTAAAAAAAAAATGACATATACAGGCAACAACAATTCAAATTATCACGGATTTCTCAACAGAAACCATAGAGGACAGAAGACAATGCAACAACATCTTTTAAATCCTGACAGAAAAGGTTCTGTGAAAATATCCTTTAGAAATATTTCTTCAAATACAGAAAAACTAAGAAAATTTGTCAACAGGGCTGCTTTATGAGAAATGTTACAGAAAATTATTCCAACTAAAAGAAAATGATACCAGAGAGAGAGTATGAGAATAAAGAAAGGAACAGAAATGGTATTGGGTAAACACACACACACACACACACACACACACACACACCCCCAAACACATAAAAATTTTAACATCTTCTCGGTAGGTTCTCAATAAATAACGAAGTCTGTCCAGAAAAAGTACAGCCATTGTTAATATAACAAGAACGGTTTGCACAACATCAATGTAACCTGGCAGCCAAGGAGAATAAACTAGAATGTGAATGCAAGAACAATGATGACTTCATTGTACTCACCAGTGGGGGTGGCAAATGCCACCGAATGAGCATGTGTACTGTGTGGCCATCACATTCAAAATGACAGAGTGAGTAGAGCAACAAATCTGCATCGAATTTTGTGTTAAGCTTGAACGTTCCTCCAAGGAAACCATCAGGATGATTCAGAAAGCCACAGCTATGGGCAACTGGTGGCTGGCAGCTTCATCACTACAATTGTACCTGCTCATGCATCACATTTCGTGCAGTTTGTTGGCAAAACATCGTATCACCCAGGTGATTCAACCCTGCTACAGCCCAGATTTGGCACCCTGCAACGTCTGGCTTTTCCCAAAACTAAAGTCACCTTTGAAAGCGAAGAGTTTTATGACCATCAGTGAGATTCAGGAAAATATAATGAGGCAATTGGTGGCAACTGGGAAAACTGTGTGAGTTCCCAAGGTGCCTACTCTGAAGGGGACTGAGGCGTCTTTGTCCTATGTACAATGTTTCTTGTATTTTGTATCTTCTTCAGTAAATGTGTCTATTTTTCATATTACATGGCTGGACACCTTCTAAACGGACCTTGTACATAACTATAATATATATGATGGCTATAACTTAATGGTCAGGCAGGGGTTAAAGGAATCTATACGGTTGTGAGGTTTCTACATTTAGGCAAAGTAGTGGGATGTTAACTCTAAGAAGACAGTGGAAGGATAGGTAGGTATATTGTAATTCCTAAAGCAACCACTATCAAAAGGGAGAAAGACAAAAATCAAACAGATAAAATGGGATACTAAATATTCAAAAAAGAAGGTATAGAAGAACAAAAAGCGGGGTACAAAGAACAGATAATAAAATGGGAGACCCAAATCCAACTATAATTTAAATGCTTACGGTCTAAACTCTCCAGTTAAAAATCAGACTGACAGAGTAAATAAAAAAGCAATACCCTAGAATATGATGCTTACAAGGTGCACATTTTAAATATAAAGACATATATAGACTGGAAGTAAATGGATGAAACAATTCTACGATGCAATCAGCAAACACAAGAAGACTGAACTGGCTATTTTAGTAACAGATGAACTAGACTTCAAGACAAAGAATATTGCCAGAGATAAAAAGGGACACTTCAAAATGATAAAAGTAACATCATCAGGAAGACATAATTACCCGTTGTATGTGTCTATAATAGAACCTCAAAGTACACAAAGCAAAACTGATAGAA